GTGTGTGACTCTCTCTCTGGGGCTGTGTGTGTCTCTCTCTCTGGGGCTGTGCGTGTGTGTGTCTCTGGGTCTGTGTGTGTCTCTCTCTCTCTGTGTCTGTGTGTGTGTCTCTCTCTCTGGGTCTGTGTGTGTGTCTCTCTCTGGGTCTGTTGTGTGTCTCTCTCTGGGTCTGTGTGTGTCTGTCTCTCTCTGGGTCTGTGTGTGTGTGTCTCTCTGGCTGTCTGTGTGTGTGTGTCTCTGGGTGTGTGTGTGTGTGTCTCTGGGTCTGTGTGTGTGTGTCTCTCTGGGTCTGTGGTGGTGTCTCTCTCGGTCTGTGTGTGTGTCTCTCTCTGGGTGTGTGTGTCTCTCTCTGGGTCTGTGTGTGTGTGTCTCTCTGGGTCTGTGTGTGTGTCTCTCTCTGGGTCTGTGTGTGTGTGGTCTCTCTGGGTCTGTGTGTGTGTCTCTCTCTGGGTCTGTGTGTGTCTCTCTCTCTCTGGGTCTGTGTGTGTGTCTCTCTCTGGGTCTGTGTGTGTCTCTCTCTCTGGGGCTGTGCGTGTGTGTGTCTCTGGGTCTGTGTGTGTGTGGTCTCTGGGTCTGTGTGTGTGTCTCTCTGGGTCTGTGTGTGTGTCTCTCTGGGTCTGTGTGTGTGTGGTCTCTGGGTCTGTGTGTGTGTCTCTCTGGGTCTGTGTGTGTGTCTCTCTCTGGGTCTGTGTGTGTGTGGTCTCTGGGTCTGTGTGCGTGTCTCTCTCTGGGTCTGTGTGTGTGTCTCTCTCTGGGTCTGTGTGTGTGTCTCTCTCTGGGACTGTGTGTGTGTCTCTCTCTGGGTCTGTGTGTGTGTCTCTCTGGGTCTGTGTGTGTGTCTCTCTCTGGGTCTGTGTGTGTGTGGTCTCTGGGTCTGTGTGGTGTCTCTCTCTCTGGTCTGTGTGTGTGTCTCTCTCTGGGTCTGTGTGTGTGTCTCTCTCTGGGTCTGTGTGTGTCTCTCTCTGGGTCTGTGTGTGTGTCTCTCTGGGTCTGTGTGTGTGTCTCTCTCTCTGGGTCTGTGTGTGTCTCTCTCTCTGGGTCTGTGTGTGTGTCTCTCTCTGGGTCTGTGTGTGTGTCTCTCTCTGGGCTGTGTGTGTGTCTCTCTCTGGGTCTGTGTGTGTGTCTCTCTGGGTCTGTGTGTGTCTCTCTCTGGGTCTGTGTGTGTGTCTCTCTGGGTCTGTGTGTGTGTCTCTCTCTGGGTCTGTGTGTGTGTCTCTCTGGGTCTGTGTGTGTCTCTCTCTCTGGGTCTGTGTGTGTCTCTCTCTGGGTCTGTGTGTGTGTCTCTCTCTGGGTCTGTGTGTGTCTCTCTCTCTGGGTCTGTGTGTGTGTCTCTCTGGGTCTGTGTGTGTCTCTCTCTGGGTCTGTGTGTGTGTGTCTCTGGGTCTGTGTGTGTGTCTCTCTCTGGGTCTGTGTGTGTGTGGTCTCTGGGTCTGTGTGTGTCTGGTCTCTCTGGGTCTGTGTGTGTGTCTCTCTGGGTCTGTGTGTGTGTCTCTCTCTGGGTCTGTGTGTGTCTCTCTCTGGATCTGTGTGTGTCTCTCTCTCTGGGTCTGTGTGTGTCTCTCTCTGGGTCTGTGTGTGTCTCTCTCTGGATCTGTGTGTGTCTCTCTCTCTGGGTCTGTGTGTGTGTCTCTCTGGGTCTGTGTGTGTCTCTCTCTGGGTCTGTGTGTGTGTCTCTCTCTGGGTCTGTGTGTGTCTCTCTCTGGATCTGTGTGTGTCTCTCTCTCTGGGTCTGCGTGTGTGTCTCTCTGGGTCTGTGTGTGTCTCTCTGTGTCTGTGTGTGTCTCTCTCTTTGGGTCTCTGTGACTCTGGGTCTGTGTGTTTGTGTCTTTCTCTGGGTCTGTGCGTGTCTCTGTCTCTGGGTCTGTGCGTGTGTGTATCTCTGGGTCTGTGTGTGTGTCTCTCTCTGGGTCTGTGTGTGTGTCTCTCTCTGGGTCTGTGTGTGGCTCTCTCTGGGTCTGTGTGTGTCTCTCTCTGGGTCTGTGTGTGTCTCTCTCTGGGTCTGTGTGTGTGTCTCTCTCTGGGTCTGTGTGTGTCTCTCTCTGGGTCTGTGTGTGTGTCTCTCTCTGGGTCTGTGTGTGTCTCTCTCTGGGTCTGTGTGTGTGGCGCCGACCCTCAGAGGTAGGAGCTGGTGAGCTCCTGTAGTCTCCCTGTTATGTGTTCCCCCCACTCCACAAAAAAATGGCCAACCAGTTTTTGTTAAAGAAGCAATGAATACTTTTTTTGCAACAATCTAATGTGTTATTTCCTTATATTTAGTTTTTATCCTAGTGAAAAAAATACCAATAAAATGTACCTCAATAGCACCAATCAACCCCCGCAAATTTCCCCGCAGAATTTAGCAAAAAGCCCCTCTGCAACTTCCCGCAGGGCCCATAAGGCGCCCCACAATTTTTTATTGGTCCAGGTCATGATTTAAAAGGTACTGATAAGTTGCACACATCTTGATTTTGTGGATGCTGTATTCTATTGCTTCTTCAATCTGAGTACAGTTGTGGTCACTGCAAAACAAGGAACTGCCCAGACACAGCAAAGGGGAAAGCAACATAGTTGATACTCGGTGTTTGAGCTATGGTAATTCCACAATTAGATAAACTAGATCTCTTCAGACTTGCAAAGAATAGAGGTAACTTTAATGAGGTCCATAAAATCTTAATTAGGATACAACAACAACAAAATTACATTTATAGAGCGCCTTTCATGTCGGGAAGATGTCCCAAGGAGCTGAGTACCTAGGTCCAAGGATAGAGAAGGTATTCAGAGTAATATGTTCAGATATGCCGATAGCAGAATAAGGCATCACATGTTTATGGTTGTGAAAGGCAATATCAGGATAACAAAGTATTTGTTTATATTGAAGGGAATGGGTTACCAGGAAGAGTGGTAGAATCCTGGAATCACTTATTCAAGAAGCAGCTCAACAGTACAATGGGAAGACATTGAAGTTCATATTTTGACCAAATTGATAACATTCTGCTTCTGTTATCTTTTTTGTGGTCTCCAATACTACTATCTGCACTGGACGCTGGAATCAATCACTTATCTGGGATGAATTTTTTGTTACTATTTCTGAGCTAGCAAACAGCGTTGTAAACCTCAGTGGTGTCATGTGTGAGACAGTCAGTCTATTCTGTGTTTCACTCCTGCTCATGTTAAACGTTTAACCCTATTTTATCATGTTAAAACTCTGCAGTAAAGTTCTGACATTATTTGTTGCTTTTTGAGGCTTTTCAATGCCAAGTGTCCCTAAGTGATGAAACTAGGCCTTTGGCCTGTCCAAGCTTTGTCAGTTCAGCTCTTAACCTGGATGTACAATTTACTTAGCATTTGACTTGTCTTCAATCACACATCAAGTCAATCCATTGCCCCTCACAATAGTGCTGCGACTTAAATTCAAAGGGGAGAAATGCACAGGGAAATGAACAGAACTGCCATAGTATGGTAGGGTACACTGTACAGCGGCCATAGTGTGTTGGGGGTACACTGTAAACAACAACAACAAGATTATATTTGTATAGCGCCTTTCACGTCGGGAGGACGGCCCAAGGCGCTGCACAGAATACAGCATTTCAGACCCAAGCTGGGGGAGGGGGGGAGGGGAGGGGAAGGGGGGTGTATAGCTGCTCTAGTGTGGTGGGGCACACTGTTTGGCTGCAATAGTGTGGTGGGGTACACTGTACAGCCCATAAGAGGGACACTTCACTTTGGTCATGGAATGAAAAGGATAATACAGGAAAGGATTAACCTGCATTGTTTTAGTGTCTTCTGTTGAAACGTCTCAACGAGCTTTATAAATAAAATGCAAAATACTTCATACCCTGGGAATCTGAGACAAAAAATGAAGTCGTTGGAAACACTCAGCAGGTCAGGCAGCATCTATGGAGAAAGGAAACGTTGACTCACTTTCCTTTCTCCATAGATCCTGCCTGACTTGCTGAGTGTTCCGAGCTTTATAAGTAATTACTTTTCAGTGTAGCAATTATTTTGTAGGATAATACAGCAGCCATTTTTACCACCAATGTCTCACAATCAGCTATGAGGTGAATGACCAGCTCATCTAGAGGATTAATGATGAGCACACTGGCAGACAATCTCTACTTTTTTCCATATAGAGTAATGACATATTTTACATCCACCTGCATAGGTAGAATAACTTTGGTTTTAACCTCAGGATACATCAGAACTCAATCCTTGCCCCCTCCTTTTCTTAAACTACGTACTTCCTCTCAATGACATTTTCCACAGAAATTCCCAATGCTATTTGCATATCACATGTATGCAAATGGAACTCAAATCTACTTCCAATCACAGAACCACTGATGTTCTGCCTGCCTGCTGGACTATAAAGGCATTGAGAGCACCAGCTCTATTCAGCTCAATATTGCCAAGACAGGAAGTATCCTTCTTGTCTCCCATCAACAACTCCTCACCTCTGGCTCTCCCTTTTCCAACCTTTCCCTCAAATTCACCAAACCAGTGTACAACCCAGGTGTCCTCTTTGATCCTCTGCTTCATGTTTGGTTCCTGACCAAGACTGCTTTCCTTCATGTCCGCCACATTGCCTACCTCCACCTCAACCTCACATCAAATGCCGCCTAAAGCCTCATACATGTCTTGACTTCTCAAACGTATTCTCACTGGTCTCCCCAGTTCCACCATCCACAAGAATCAACAAGCTCATCCAAAACTCTGCCACCCAGATTCTCACCCACACTAAACTCCATAATCCCAACACCTCAATTCTTGCCAGGCTCCACCACCACCCATCCATTCCCCCATTTGTTCAAACTTGCCATTGTGAAGCACTTCAAGACTTTATCCGACATGAAGGGCAGCATATAAATGCAAGTTTCTGTTAACATCTGAATTTGTTGGAGTAGGAGACCGTGCAATGAATTTTGATTTCAACATAGAAAGGATGCGACATGTAGATAGTATATCTGGAGATTGGGAAAAATAGAATGAAAATTAAATCCCTCCCTCTGTGTTTGCCTCTCGGGCAGGTACCTGTATTTTTATAAAGAAACCATGGATCTTTTAGTGGAGAACGTGATTGTGTCAGTGGAACAGATTGGCCTTCCGATCGTGTCAAAAGCAATCTCGCATCTCTGGCAGGGCATGTCTGCAGAGAAAAAGGCAGTCATATTCAAAAAATGTCTGTCCCCCAGCAAAGCCATTACTTTACAGCTTCCCATGCAGATGGACTATTCTTTGAGAGACAAGATGCTGGACAGCCAGGGGGCAAGTGCTTCTTCTGAATCTACTCCTGATGAGGTACCTACAACACCTTTCCATGTGTGAGATTAGACTTGATATTAAAGCCATATTGATTGGGAAGGATTTATGTTCAATCCGTACCTTGTGCTGAGTTGGCTTATGTCAGCATGTCAGCAGTGGAGGCCCAGTGTCCCTTTAACCCGGGATAGAATTGTAATGCAATTGTAAATGTGTAATTTAATTTCCATATTATAATGTAATCTCATGTTTTGAGGATCAGCTGGATGTCTGACTCACGCAGAAACCAGTTACAATGCTTAAGATTATCCAAACCAAACTGAGAATTCCAAGCATCCCACCTACAGATGGAAATACCATAGATGTTTATTGGAGTGGAATAATAATAATAATCCTTGCATTTGATATAGCGCTTTTCACGTCGGGAGGACGTCCCAAAGCGTTTCACAGAACACACTGTAAAGTGAATTGACTGTATATTTGTGGGCGAACCGGCAGCCAATTGCGCACAGCAATGTCCCACAAACAGTCGTAGATTGAAAATGACCAATTTTATTACTGTTTTTGGTTTTGGAGGGATTATTATTAGGTGTGTGGAGTAAGGAAACTTGCCTAAGGTTTCGCCCTGCCTGGAATTGAACTCAGGTCTCTTGCTTGCAAAGCGAGTGCTCTAACCACTTAGCTACAGGAATGCACACACTCTCCCTGGAGGGACGCATCCTGCTTCCCTAATTCCGGGAAATATTAGGCATAGGTTGCCAAGGCTTGGGGACCTCAGAGTGTGCGGTGGGGTACTGCTGGAGACTAACCAGCTAAAACTGCGCAGCTTGCCATTGAGAGTACTCCCTGGCTAGCTTTCCTGCTGCTTATCCAGCTAGGATCACCCTACCCATTAGGGCTTTGTCTTCCAGGGTTAACAGGAGCTGAGTGTCACAGTGCATTTTAATGCAATCTCAATCACAATAAAGTAATTTAAATGTTATCTCATTGTTATCTCAGCTGATCCCATAACAGCTGGTGATTGAGGCCAATAGCAATGAGGACTTTGTGAGTGAGCCACTGTTTTGGCTCACTCATGAAGAACTGGGCAAGGTACTGGAGTGTGTCTGAGGTTTGTGGAACCAAACCTTAGCACGGATCAGTGCCTCAATGAGATGTGGACAGAAACAAATAATGATAGTAATAATGTAATTTTTTAAGAATGAGAAAACGTGTCTCCATTAATCGCTAACATACATGAAGTGCAAAGAAGATTGTTTCCACTTTCTGTCTTTCTTCAAGAATTATGTTATTGTGGGTTAAAACTGACCATGTGTGAGATGTCCACATTGTGCTGCTTTTCAGCACTAAGAAAAAAGGGTTCATTTTATCTTTTGTTCTGTGTTCCTCACATGTTCTCCTGCTTTATTTGCGTTCCCCCTCCCCCCTATCGACTGTCCAACATTCTCAGACACTTGCCAGATGCAGCTATTTCTCTTGTTGTTGATAGTCAGGAAATTAACTTCTGTTTTTTTCTCTTTTTATTCTCCATTGAGGGGCAAACTCGCCTGGATACTCACCCGCACAAAACTCTGCCCCCCCAACACACCAGTGCTTGCCAGGTTCCACTGGCTTCCAATTATGGAACAGATCGTTTTCAAGATCCTCTCACTCGTTTCAAATCCCTTCATGCCCTCGCACCTCCCTACTTATCCAATCTGCATACCCCTCACCTCCACCACTCGCTGCCTCCGCTCAGCTGGCTCTGACCTCATAACATAACATGTAGGAGCAGGAGTAGGGCATTCGGCACTTCGAGCCTGCCCTGCCATTCAATCATGACTGATCTTCTAATCTAACTCCAGCTAATGTTTATTCCCTCATTTATATTTTGTATTGTTCTCCTTTTACCTCCTGCTTGTCCCTCGTCCCCTCTGCATATCAGTGGCCGTGTCTTCAGCCATTATGCACCAAAACTCTGGAACTCTCTCCCTCAATCCCTCTGCCTTGCTCCCTCCCTCCCTCCCCACTTTCATATGACCTTCCTTTTTTGATTGTGTTTACGGTCACCTCCCTGCTCCCTCTCATCCTGGCTCGGTGTAAGACTCCACCACTGTCAAGCACTCCGGGACGTTACCCCGTATGAAGGGCAAGCTGTTGGTGGTGGTACTCTTTATGGTGCCTCTTAAATGACTCGGGGGTTCTCCTGGAGGAAGGCTGCCTTTATGCAGCATGGAAGGGAATGGTATGTGAGAACCATTTGTGTTCATTGTATGTGTGAAGAAGATACCTCTTGTTTTTCTCTTTCTTTCTTTTCCAGATGCTTTTTGAAGATGCATTTGATTTCGCCTCAGGGTTCCTGATAAAATCCGAATCAAATGCTCACACTGGAATAAAACGAGAGAACAGGTAGAAATGTCATATAAGAAATAATAACTGTATTGTAACTATGAAATCCACATTTTTGTCCACCAAAGCCTGGGGTGTTTTCTGCCTAATTAAACCCAGCATTCTGTTCTACAACTGTAATAGTTTGCGTATTTTTCATGAGGAGTTGAAAGTATCAAACGAAGTGGTTTCCATATGAAATATTTGGAAATGTTTATTCCATCATTTATATTTTGTACTGTTCTCCTTTTATCTCTTTTTTCTTCTATTTCTTTCTCAAACTCTCATTCGCCGTTTCTATTTCAAAAAAATGCAGAGAGGAATACATGCAAGTGGGAATATGACCTCAAGTCAGAAGACAGTGAAACGTTTAGGAGGTATTGGTGTCATGTGAATTAATAGGAATCTCTGAGCCTGTGGCACACTCCCACCCTTTCGCCCACAAAATACCATCGAACCACTGTAATATATTATATGAGATGTCTCAAACAACATGATTAGGCATAATATCAAATGCAAGGATTATTTATTATTATTCTTTCTCGTTGTGGATAATCTGCAGCTTGAGCTTCATTTGCCCCAGGTTAAATGACCATGGAAAGATGCTGTTTTTCCACATGCTAACCCTAACCCTAACCCTAAGGATCACATGATAATGTTCAACAAGAGAAGATAAAGAAGATTTTCCCGGTGTCTTGGTTAAGATAGAGTTGTTCTTCCAATTCATAGTGTTTTGTGGGGACATCTCTGTGTGCAAATTGATTGCTGCGTTCACCTACAAATACACAATCACTATACTTCACCGAAAAACTGTGAAGCACTTTGAGACATTACAACACAATGAGGAACTATTTTAAATGCAAGCATTATTATTTTCTTCTCTTCCCTTTTCCTTTCTCCATCCTCATCTTCTGAATCTTGTTGAATATCATTCTTTGGCTCTCAATCACTCTTTGGTACTTTGTTCAGATGGCCAATTTTTATCAAAGTGCCCAGACAGTGAGTGGGATATTTACAGGTATGCCCAATTAGGTGCAGTTCATTGAGCTGGTGGAGACAAGGATCAATAATTCAGTGATCTTGTGTATGATGTTACACTGTATTTCAGCATAATCATTTAATTAACTAATTAATTAAACTGTAGTTAATGCATCTCATTTTATTAAAATAAAATATTGATTATCCCACATGACTCAGTATGAGATTTACATTGCTGTTTACAGTGGACTACATTATTAACCACGTAGATGCGAACGTCCTGACACCTGTATCTTTTATCTTTATTTCCTTGTGATTGGATGGAAAGCTCTACCTTCACTCATTGTGCTTCTGAAAATCCAGAAGAGACCTGCACGCTCTACAAGCAGATTGTTAACTTTGTGAAGGCACAATGTGATGCAGCAACACACCTCCTGCAGGTAAGACTTGTCAAGTACAGGACAGCTAAGTACTGATTCCTGAATTAGGCGGGCGGTGGGGGAGGAGTTTAAAAATCTTTGCATTACCAGCAGAAGACTTTTTGCAATCAACATGAGTCTGTATACTTCACCTCAAAATAAGTCACCTGCTCCACCTTCTTTCTACTTATACTGTAGGGGAGGTGGAGACAAGAGTCTCCACCTCCCCTACAGACACAACCTGGAGTTTGATCCATGGGCATCATCAACTATTTTGTTCACAGATGGAATTATAGCTGAGCTTGACCCAATCACACCTGAGTTTCTCCTGGTCTCTTGGCTCACAGCCCACCAGATGAAATTGTTTTCCCAGTTCATCAATAAATAAATAATCCTTGCATTTGATATAGCTCTTTTCACTTTGGGAGGACGTCTCAAATCACAACACTAAAGTGTAGTGACTGCGTATTTTGTAGGCGAATGTGGCAGTCAATATGCACACAAGCAAAGTCCCACAAAACAGTATTTGAAGTGAGTAACCAATTTTATTTGTGGGACTGTAATCAAATGTAAGGATTATCACTATGGACATTCCTGAAGGGATCTCTGGACCATGATCAGAAGCAGAAACCTGCTTCTGATCAGGACCATGACTAATTTTTTTCCTTCCTTAACCCAGCATTCTGGAGTTATCATATACAACAACAACAACAAGATTACATTTGTATAGCGCCTTTCACGTCGGGAGGATGTCCCAAGGCGCTGGACAGAGTACAACATTTCAGACCCGAGTTGGGGTTGGGGGGAGGGGAAGGGGGGTGGCCGATGGCATGGTCGAAGAGGAGGGTCTTGAGGTGGGACTTGAAGGAGGCTAAGGAGGGGCGAGGCAGAGTGACTGGGGGATGGAATTCCAGTGGTTGGAGGCAGAGTGACTGAAGGCTCTCCCGCCAATGGTGGGGCGAGTGGGTCAGGGGATGTGGAGCAGGCCAGAGCCGGCTGAGCAGAAGGAACGGGCGGGTTGGTAGGGAGTTAGGAGGTCCCAGATTTAGGGTGGGGCGAGACCATGGAGGGCCTTGTAGGTGAGGACAGGATCTTTAATTGGATCCTCTGAAGGATAGGGAGCCAATGGAGTCGGGCGAGAGTGGGGGAGATGGGGTCACGGAGTTTGGTACGGGAGAGGACACGGGCTGCAGAGTTCTGGATTATCTGCAGCCTATGGAGAGAGGAGTTGGGAAGGCCGACAAGCAGTGCATTTGCATAGTCGAGCCTGGAGGTGATGAAGGCATGAACAAGAGTTTCAGTGGCCTGAGGGGTGAGGTAGTGGCGGAGTTGAGTGATGTTACGGAGGTGAGGGAAGGCAGAGAGGGTCATGGCTTGAATGTGGGGGAGAAAAGACAGTTGAGGGTCGAACAAGACACCAAGGTTCCTGACTGGCTCGGTGAGGTGTGGTGTGCAACCATGGAGGTTGATGTTGCCAGAGCCTGAGGTGCAGAGGCACTGGCGTGAGACAATCAGGAGGGCCTCAGTCTTGTTCACATTCAACCGAATAGCCCCAACTGCTCTCGTAAGCACAGTCGAAGAGGAACGTTTTCATGTGGGACTTAAAAGGGGAGAGAGGGGGCAAGGCGGAGGGATTGAGGGGGAGAGTGTACAGAGACACAAAAGACATCTGGTTCATCAGAGGGACCATATTTACATTCCTGAACCGTACATGGATTTGCATAGACTGTACAGGTTGGAAACAGACCATTCAGCTCAACTAGTCCGTGCCGGAGTTTATACTTCAAGTGCGTTTCCACCCACTTCCTGCTTCCTCCCATACCCTTCTTTTCCTTTCTTCATCATATACAACTTCAGGGTGGATTCAGTGTATTGTAACTTGTTGGAATTTATTTTGTTACTATATAACAACTTGCATTTATATAGCGCCCTTCACGCGGGGTAGCGTCCTGGAGGACATACGTGGTTTGCGGAGTCTGACCCCAAGCCAGGGGGAGAGGGAGGGGAAGTGGGGAAGTAACCATAAGCACAATCAAAAAGGAGGATCTTTAGGTGGGGTTTGAAGGTGGGGAGTGAGAGGTTAAGACGGAGGGATTGAAGGAGAGAATTTCACAGTTTTGGGTGTAGTGGCTGAAGCAACGGCCACCAATGGTGGAACGGAGAGAACGAGGGACAAACAGGAGGCTGGAGCCAGCCGAGTGGAGGCCGCGGGTGGTGGAGTAGGGGGTAAGCAGGTCAGATATGTAGGGAGGTGCGAGGGCATGAAAGGATTTGAAATGAGTGTGAGGATCTTGAAATGATCCGTTCAGTAATTGGGACGCAGTGGAGCCTCACAAGGACTGGTGTGATGGGGGAGTTTTGTGCAGGTGAATATCCGGATGGCGGAATTTTAAATTATTTGAATTTTGTGTATCATGGAGCTGGGGAGACCAGCGAGAAGGGCATTGGAATAGTCCACCCGGGAAGTGACGATGTCAATAGTCCAGCTGGGAGGTTCAGCTGCGTCGGTTATGAGGTACAGACAGAAGCAAACAATATGGTGGAGGTGGAAAAACTGGACTGGAGGGGTTCAAGTAGGAAGTGGAGGGTAAAGTGTGAGTGAAGTTGGTTTGGAACAACGTGTTCCAGGGCGTTGGTCAGAAAGAGCAGGTTTTAAATGGGATGGTAGTGCGTGAGGTTGAAGGGATCAAGAGTAGGTTTTTTAAGGAGGGGAGTAATGACAGCGGTTTTGAGGGAGAGTGGGACTGAGCCTGAGAAGAGGGACCAATTTATCATGTCTGCCAGAAGTGGGCAGTGGATGGAGAGTTGAGCAACCAGCAGCTGGGTGGGAGGGGGTTGAGACATTAATATAATAAAAAATTATGTTTGTAAATCAAGGGATTTAAAGCTATAAATTAATGATAACAGTGGGAATAGTGCTAGTGAAGATAATGGCAGCCTTGGAGCATCACTGAGAAGAGAGATTGCTCTGTCTTGCAGATGGTAGCAAAGAAATATCTTGGTCAGAGTAAGAAGTCATCGCACAAGAGCATTGAAGAGTCAAGAATAAGAAAAAGGCATTCAACCCATTTATCTGTATCCCTCCACAGACCATGTAAACCCTAACTTGGACGCACATCACCCACCTCCCATAGTAACCCCCGACAACTCAGATATAATTTTGCAGCAACTCCAGAGTATTTACTTGGTGCTCTGAGAGAAGCTTTAAAGCGGAGAGAGCGAAACTACCAGCTGTTAGTGTCTCACTTTCTTATTGCAGACAAGCTGTGTCCTGGCTATTATTATTCTCTATCTCTGTTGATTCACAACCAAACCACACAGTCACTGCATTAACCGTAAATCCTGTCAGATGCTTTGAAACATCCTTCTGCAGTAAAATACTAAACCTTGCATTTGATATTGCGCTTTATCACGTCATTGAGATGTCTCAAAGCTCTTCACAGGATAGAAACATAGAAACAGGAGTAGGACATTCAGCCCCTCGAGCCTGTTCTGCCATTGTATAAGATCATGGCTGATCTGTACCTCAACTTCAATTACTTGTCCTGGTCTCATATCCCTTGATACCCTGACCTAACAAATATCTATCCACCTCAGTCTTGAAATTGTGAATGGATATACTGTAAAATGGATTGACTGTGTATTTTGTGGGTGGAATGAGGATGATATATCAAGTGCAAGGATTATGCGCTTCAGGATAAAAGCACAGCAGTGAAGTGTCAGATGACACTTTACGAGTTCCAAGTCCCGACATAGAGCTTGAACCCCAGCCTTCTCAATCAGAGGCAAAAATGTTACTATCAATTGAACCAGGCTCAAACACAAGCTGGGTATTTCCCGGAATCCAAGCCAGTAATCCTTCAGATAACTATCATACATTTCAGGGCTATTTGTGGGATCTTACTATGTGTAAATTGGCTGCCAGATTTGTCTGTCGATACAGTCCTATGCTTTGCAGCAATTGTTTGTGAAGTGCTTTGAGACACTTTCATATTTAAGTGATATATCAAATCCATAGATTATTATCGGTTTTGAAAGTGGTTCAATCAATCATCAATTTGGAACCGCTAAAATCTGCTAGAATCTGCTATTGGGATCAGATTTTTTAAAACTAAACTGAGTGTTATTCCTCTGGCTTCAGCTCAGCCTGTGTCTCTCCACTCAACAGACTGGCTCCCCAAACTTCGATGATGAAGCTTTCCTGCTGAGGTGCACAGAAACGTTTGATGATGATCTGTAGTGAATGGAATTTCTGCACCAGACATTTAAATCTGCAGAAGTACAGGAAGCAAGAAGTGGGGTGGACCACAATTTAAGAGTTTGGGTTTATGCTGCCGTTACTGGTAGCAGTACTCTGGTGCATCATTGTGACAATGTGCAGCTGAATGGATAACTTATTAGTTTAGTCCGGGAAGGGCTTGAGGCCCAACTTCAGTATAGCATGGTTACCATTCCTCCCACACCTAGTACTTGGTACCATGTGTTGTCACCATGAAACAGCACTTCCTCTTTTGGAATGGATTGTGCTACATGGAGAACTGTACACGTCACTCAGACTGGCTTATGAATTGAGAGGTTTCAATGAGAAAGAAAACCTTGCAAAGTGATTTAACCGCCAGGGAAGTTCTTTTGTACTTCCAGTCCTGTACTCGAGGAAAAAACAGTTCTGAGAACAGTTCAACTTCTATCAACACTCAACACTTTACATCGGATTCAACACTTGTTGGGGGAAACAGCACAAGTGACTCCTTAAAGAGGAGTGAAGATGAGGACACATACTTTGAAAGTCTTTTCCCCCAAGCTAGTAAAACGTTAAAAATAAACCTGCTCAAGTAGTTTATCTCAGAGCAATGTACAAATTGTTTTGAGGGTGGAGTTTTACTTACCAATGTACCCCTGAGGACTCAGCTTAACTGCAGCATTATGATACAGATTAACAGGCTTATTTATTTGTGCATGTATAAAATGCCTATTTGTCCATGACAGCGCTCCATGATAGTGCTCAAGCGGTCGGGGACACTACCCTGCGTGAGAGCGCTATATAAATGCAAGCTGTTGTTGTGATAAGGAAGTTCGCTATTTCTCCTTTGCATTAACCACTTGGAACCATGTGAACCATGTGGCTCAGTCTGCTCGGATCCTTCGCACCTAATATAAACACCCTGACTCCAAAGCCCAGGACAAATGAATTTAAACCAGTGACAATATTTCATAGATATTATCACTGAAGATCACAGTATTTCTGCAATACTTTACCGGCAAGTCTGAGCCAAAAATCGGGATGCTGTTAACTCTTTAATTCATTGAAAACCAGCTCCTAGCCCAAGAAGCCCACATCGTTCCTTGCTCCTCTTTAAAGAGCTATTTGTGTTGGAACCGATGTAAATGAACAGATTGTGAGAGCTGATAGAAGTTGGAAATAGAATATTATAGAGACGTAGATACTGCACATTCCTTATTTAAAAATGGCCAAATTGTGTCAATTAAATGTGCAGTAGTGTCATCTGATTGTTTGAATTATCTGATTAAAAGACAGGCAGCGGAGGGGGGAACGGATATTCAGAACAGAATTAAATAAAACAGTAACATTTTGCATTAGAACCGCATTCCTTGCAGTTTGTATGTTATAGGAGCTTTTTCTTGAAATTCCTATTAAAATCATCTTCAATGATGGGTTTTATAGGTTACAACGGTGGAGAGAATATTGTTGTAGGATAAATGTGTTAATCAGTAGGTTATAGCTGTGCTGTTCAATATACATTGTGATATCAATGTTGTTTAATGTCTCTCTAACCTACTGTCAAGGGCAGGTCATGCAATCAACAAGGTATTACACACTCTGAAATGTTTCTGTTCAGAAAATAATTCATCAATAAAAAGATAAGTGAATTAACTTCCTGGGTTTGATTTCACGATGCTTTGATTCTTGAAAATTTTCTTCCCCCACAATATTTTTAATTTGCAAATGTGGATACACCCACCCTGCTAATGCTTTGCCCACATTGGATTAGAGAACTGGTGTGTGAGAAAGCAGTTCAACAAATCTTTAGCATTTGAAGGAGTGAGTTACATTTATGTGGTTTAAAACGTAAAGGCCACCACCAGATTTTGCAAAGGATACGGAAATATAAAATCCTGATGATAACCAGATATGCATGTCACTGTCCTGCAGAAACTCTGCTCCCGCATTATCTCTCTTCAGGCGTGTCAGAGCCGAGTTCCCACAAATGGTTGCTCTTTTGACCATACTCTGACACGCCCTCTCTGACCCCCTCAAAACTGCTGTCACCACCCCCCTCCTCAAAAAACCTTCCCTTGATCCCTCAAACCCCAGCCACTACCGCCCTATCTCAAACCTGCCCTTCCTCGCAAAAGTCCTAGAACGCGTTGTTGCCAATCAACTCCGCGCACACCTCTCCTCCCACTCCCTCTTCGAACCCCTCCAGTCCGGTTTCCGCCAAGTCCACAGTACAGAGGCTGAGCTTGTGAAAGTCACAAACGACATCCTCTCCATCTGTGACCAGGGCTCCCTCTGCCTCCTTGTCCTCCTGGACTCCTCCGCTGCGTTCGACACAGTCGATCACGCCATCCTCCTCCACCACCTTTCCTCCGTCATCCATCTCAGTGGGACCACACTCGCCTGGTTCGAGTCCTACCTCACAAACCGCCAGCAGTGCATCTGCACAAACGGCTTCTCCTCCTGCTCTCACCTGGTTACCTGCGGGGTACCCTGAGGATCCATCCTTTGCCCCCTCCTCTTTCTGATCTACGTGCTCCCTCTTGGGGATGTCATCCGCAGACATGGAGTACATTTCCATATATATGCAGACGACACACAACTCTATTTTTCCACTTCACTTTGCGACCCCCCAGTCCCCTGATGTTGTCAGCCTGCCTGTCAGATCTCAGGGGCTGGATGAGCACAAATTTCCTTCAGCTGAACGTTGACAAGACGGAAGCCATACTCTTTGGCTCTTGTCAACATCTAAAATCTCACGGTTCTCACCTCCTCCACCTACCCGACCTTCCCCTAAAACTCTCCGAACCCGTACGCAACCTAGGTGTCAGGTTCGATCCCCAATTATCCTTCCTCCCCCACATCCAGTTCCTCACCAGCACCGCCTTTTTCCACCTCTTAACGCATCGCCCGTCTCCACCAATACCTCACTCCGAAAGCCACTGAAACCCTGGTCCATGCCTCTGTCACCTCTCGGCTGGACTTTTCAAATGTCCTCCTCACCGATCTCCCATCTACTACCATCCATAAAATGCAAATTATTCAAAACTCTGCCACCCGCATTCTCACACACCCCGGTCCTTGCCAGACTCCAGTGGCTGCCTGTCCCAGAGAGGATCGACGTCAAGATCCTCACCCTTGTCTTCAAATCCCTCCACTTCAAATCCCCTACCTCTCTGACCTCCTCTCTCCTCAAAAGAGTTCCCGTTGCCTTTGTTCCTCCGGGTCTGGCCTCCTCCCTGTTCCCCGAGTTCTCCGCTCCGCCCTTGGCGGCCGTACCTTCAGCCAGTATGCCCTGAGACTCTGGATCTCCCTTCCTCACTCCCTTCGCCTCGCCCCCTCTCTTCCTATTTTCAGGTCTCTACTGAAGACCTTTCTTTTTGACTGCGCCTTTAGTCACCTTTCTCCCCCTCCCCCTGGCTCGGCTCCGGGATCCGTTACTATGAAGCGCTCTGAGACGCCGTCCGGCATGAAGGGCGCTATATAAATCCAAGTTGTTGTTGTACTCTACACATGAGATTTTCTCATCAGAAAATGTTACCCATTATAATTACTCAGGTTTCGTGCATTGTGTCAGGAAAAGCAATGAAAAGGAACCAGTCAGTACAATTTACGTATGAATAGTGACAAGCTCAAAATCAGATTTTCAGCCATATGTACAGCTCTTCTGGCTGAAATACTTTTTCATACGTTTCATAGAATCATGGAATGATACAGGTCGCATTCAATGCATGTTAGCAATACAACAGCTTGTAACAGCCAATGTGTCAATGACCATGATTAAACAGTACCAATTAAACCAATCCTAGCAATAAAACCGCCTCAGTAACCATAACAGATTATCATGTAATCTTATGAATCTTGCAATTACTGAATCCGTAATTAACTTTATTTGCCCAGGTGTCTTTATGGGTGACCAGATGGGTACCCTGGCGTGCTTTCATTTTAAGATTGGCAGTCTCTCCTCCAATTGTAGGATCCAATGACAACTTGGTATCACTTGTAAATTTAACATTTTGCACTGAGTTTGTTAATCCAAATCATCAATGGATTCAGGGTACAGGAGAAATTCCAGCACATTTCCCTGAGGAGTTCCATTCAATAAATGCCACTTTGACCTAACTGCTCTTACGACCATTCTCTGTTTACTTTAGCCAATTTTTGTCCATGTTTTTCCCTTCAAACCCATTGACATAAGTTTGTAATAGATAGCAAACCTAAGGGATTTTTTTTAAAAAAGAAGCTGACCCAAGGGATATGAGGCAAGGCAGGTTTAAAGGGATATGGGGCCTGAGGCCTGGGTGAGAATCAAGAGATATGGGGCAAGGGTGAGTTGAGGTACAGACCAGCCATGATCCTATAGAATGACGGAACAGGCTCGAGGGGCTGAATGGCCTACTCCTGTTCCTATATTTCACATGTCTCTCGCCCAAATTATGAAGTCTAAACTTGCGAGTCAAACTTAACTGAATGAGGATGAATGCACACTGGCTAAAAGAAGATAATCTAATTGCACAATGAAGGATTTGCTGTTAAATGATATCCAGCAGGAAAAAATTTGATTACCAAAAATTATCTGCAGCAATCTCAATCACTGCAAACTTTGTGGGGCACAGAGTTTAATATTTTCACTGAGCACAAGGAGATTAGAATGATTTTGTCTCTGTCTTTCTTTCTCCTTCTCACCTTTTGCTTATTTTCTCTTAATATCCTCATTCTCTTTATATTAATCTTTGGACGATGATGAATGCACATTGGCTAAAAGCAGCAAATCTAATTGCACAATTGAAGAGTTTGTTGTTAACTGACATTGTAAGATTATATTTGTGATGTTTACTGTTGTTAAGGTTTTTAATTAGTATACTTTTAGAATATAACCAACACTTATAATCTTTTTAGTAAGGATTTCATTAGTTACTAGGGTTGTGTATTTTAAATGACTAATTTAGGGCCCCTGAGAGGGTACATATGCCAATTATCGTCAGCGAAGGTAAAGATATATTGGCTTGACCCCGGCTGAGGTCAGGTTGTGATAACTTTCCCTCATCCAGTATTTGGGTAGGTGTCATCCTCCCATCTATATGTTAACCAATGTAGTCAAAATAATTATTTTAATCAATGGTTAGAAATGCTTATGTTGAATAGACACCATTTTGATTAATAGTTAAAAATGATGATGTAGCTTGGAAAATGTCAAGCTGATTTGTTTATTGTAGCTGAAGGTTGTTGAAGATGTTCGCCATCACAGATTCATGTTCCATAACAATCATGTTTTAATTAAGTGTTGTGTTAATGATGAGGTAGTTGAAGAGGTTTTCCTGTAACAAATTATTTTTTGGCTAAAGATGTTTTCTATAACAATTCAAGTTTTATAACAATTCATGTTTTCATATATCAATTGGTGTTTTTAATTGGTGTTTGTTGAAAATGTCCTTCTATAACAATTCTGTAGATTATATTTTATTATTATGACTAAAAAACAGGGAGATGACAGAATCCTCCCAAAGCGAAAGTCCTGGGTTCAATTTCTGGCAGGGCGAAACCTTGGGCAAGTTTCAATAATTCTTCAAAAAAAGAAATAATAATAATTTGGTCACTCAATCCCCAACTGTTTGTGGGACACTGCTGTGCACAATTAGTTGCCGTGTTTCGCCCACAAATATACAGTCAATTCACTTCACAGTACTGTGAAGTGCTTTGTGATGTCTAGAAGATGTGAAAAGGATTATTATTATTAAATTAGTTGTCCATATCTCTTTCTCCTTCTTGGTTATTTCCCATGGAAAAGATCCAGCTCAAGATTGCTAGCAGCCTGCGAAGGGTGGGGACTATCTCTGTGACAAGGGGCAATGGAGTAAGAAATACCTAAAAGAAAGATATAACTTTGGAATAGTTGGAATCATCGTAGGAAGAACATTTGTGAGGCAGCTGGTGGTCAGCAACTTCCCCAATGGAATCAGGTAATATTGGTTTTGTTGATTCTTACTGATTTAATGTAACTTAACAATACAATGTGTTAAAGCATTAACCTTTGAATTGTATATGAATTGTATATCGTATATGAATTGTATATGAAAATAAAAGATCTGTAATTCCCACCACCTGTATTGGGTAAAGTCTCTTTCTGGCGAACCTTATGACATCCAGCAGAAAAAGATTTGATTATAAAATTACCTGGGATTATTAATCAGCAATTGTTTAACAACTGAGTTACCTATTGCTAGGTAAACAGAGGCATACCGAGAAATGTTGCCAACTATTTCACCCCGCCTGGTAATCAAACCCAGGTCCTCTTGTTCGCGAGGCGTGCCCTAACCATTAAGTTACAGGACTCTAATTGGCTATATTGCAGGTTTAATCTTTGACAAAGGAGGCTGTGTGTACATGAGCTGGAATTTTGTTACGAAGAAACTGAATCAGGAAGAATTTATAGCTAATGCATAACATTTGGCCGTTGCCTGGTTGCATTTGAAAAGCAGCTTGTTTTCTGGAGAATGCTGAAAATCTCTATCAAGTCTAATTCTCTCTCACTTGTCTGATGGAATGGTGATGTTTCAGGAAGCTCACAAAGTAATCTTTCTTAAGAATTTTCATTGTAAACAAACAGTTTATTAGGATTTCTTTTAAAAAAAACTGACGGAGAGATCACTCTAGTGTTGGATGATTCATTCAGGTTATCAGGGTTAACAACTCCTAACAACTCCTATCAGTTCTTCTGGCACGGTTCGCTGTAAACTTTCTTCCTTTGTTAGAGGTATATCAACTGCAATGTCTTCGGAGGAGAAATCCAGTGGGCTGGATAATTACAGTTATATTGTAAGTACATATTAGCAATCTCAAAGAAGGATCATTTGTATTCTATTTTGAATATCATGGGAGCTCTGTAAAACATGTTTTTTTTAAACAGCATCAAAGCAGTTAAATGATAAAAACCCATATTGTAACTGCTGTGACATGCACTCTTATGGCTCACTCTCATCCTTTTGGAGTTGTGTGTAAATTCTTTTTTATGATTCCAGGGGCTATTCATCCCTAACCTGCTTCAAATTTTATTTTTCGCTTGGATTTTTCTTGCTCACCCTATGCCATATTTGTATCTAGAAAGATGGGCAGCGACCTGTCCAAGGTCTCTGCTGACACGACTGTTCGAGTGCCTATTTTACAGTACATGGTCTTGCTTTGTGCTCCCTCTGCATAATGGTGCGGAACGCTTTGGGAATGGTGTACTCGTGGATAGTTTGAGTGTCGATGATGACTGATCCAATGGTGTAATTTTGTCATGGATCATGTATTCCACAGGTGTCTCCTTTCTAGTGTGTAGTGACAGGGCACACTTTAGGATGGGGTAGTCTACTTCAGTGACAGCTGTTTGGTATCTAATATACTGGTCTGCAGGAAACCCTTCTTCTAATCTACCATTTTCAAGGTTCAAAAATTGAATGGCAAAAAGCCGGTTAACTTCATGCCTAAACATGTTAACTTCCTGCCTAAATGTCTTGTCAAAAAAAGTGACTGTGGAGCTGGTGCCCAAGTATTTATTTATTGTTTCTTTTCACTTCCTGCACTGCTACGTGTGCCAATAAGAAGCACTGGTTGAGTACAAATCAGTACATTTGTTATTACTCTTAAATACAGAAGAGGATTGTTGCAGGAATCCGGTTGTGTGACAGAGATTTAAATGTTTTATTCTCACATAGAATGAAGATGGAGATGCTCCTAATATCAGTGAACACGAGAAAATTGAGAAGAGCAACAAACTTTCTTCTGAGGATAAGAATTCAAACAAGTTGGCTTACATTATCACTGATGTCCCTCCATGGTATCTGTGCATATTTCTTGGCATTCAGGTAAGAACGGGATGGGAAAGAAAATAGAAAGGGCAAATAGAGGGAGAAAGAGAGAGAAAATAAATGAGAGAAATGGAGAAGAAATCAGAGAGGCAAAAAAAAGTAAAAGTGGGAGACTGAAAAATTAAAAGAGAGGTACATACAGAGCAAAACAGAGAGAAACAAATAGACCAAGTAAAACAGAGAGAGAGGAGAGAAAAAATTAAACAGAAATAAAAAGAGCAAAATAGACAGAAATGACAAAGACAAAAACAGAAAAAAAGAGAAAGAGCAAAACAGAGAGAAAGAAAAGCAAAGTAAACAAATCAGGGAGAGACAGAGAATAGTGCAAGGAAACAAGTGGAATAGATGGAGCGATAGGGGAAAACACGGAAAGGGTGAGAAAACGAGGTAAACAAAAAGTCACATTCTTGGCTGATACTCCAATTTACAATGCTGGGGGAGCACTGCATTGTAATAATAATAATAATAATAATAATCCTTGCATTTGATATAGCGCTTTTCACGTCGGGAGGACGTCCCAAAGCGCTTCACAGAATATACTGTAAAGTGAATTGACTGTATATTTGTGGGCGAACGCGGCAGCCAATTACGCACAGCAATGTCCCACAAACAGTCATATGGATTGAAAATGACCAATTTATTATTGTTTTTGGTTTTGGAGGGAGTATTATTAGGCTCTATGTGGAGTAAGGAAACTTGCCCAAGGTTTCACCCTGCCTGGAATTGAACTCAGGTCTCTCAATTGCAAAGCGAGTGCTCTAACCACTGAGCTACAGGACTCCATTGTAGCAGTGCCATCCTTCGCTTGAGAAGTTAAACCGAAGTCTCCCTGTTCTGGTAGACTTTAAAGATCCTGTGACACTAGTCAAAAACCAGCAAGAGGTTTCTCCTGGTGTCCTGGCCAGCAATCCCCCTGAAAAATTGGTCATTCACTTCATTGTTGTTTGTAAGATATTGATATACGCAAATTGGATACCATGTTCACCTACACATATATCATCATTACAATTCACAGTAAAAATCATGTGAAGTGCACTCAGGATCCTCCTAAGAGGAAATGCACAACATAAAATCCAACGATTAATATAAAGAGAATGAAGATAATAACAGAGAAAATAAGCAAAAGGTGAGAATGAGAAAGAAAGGAGAGACAAAATCATTCTAATCTCCTTGTGTTCAGTGAAAATATTACCTTCCCAGGGGCCCTAAGTTCATCTTTTGAAACACACAACCTTGTCCATGTCCTAGTCTAACGAATGCCATACTAAAAAGATTATAAGTGTTGGTTATATTCTAAAAGTATACTAATTAAAAACCTTAACAACAGTAAACATCACAAATATAATCTTACAATGTCAGTTAACAACAAACTCATCAATTGTGCAATTAGATTTGCTGCTTTTAGCCAATGTGCATTCATCATCGTCCAAAGATTAATAATAATAATAATAATCCTTGCATTTGATATAGCGCTTTTCACGTCGGGAGGGCGTCCCAAAGCGCTTCACAGAATATACTGTAAAGTGGATTGACTGTATATTTGTGGGCGAATGCGGCAGCCAATTGCGCACAGCAATGTCCCACAAACAGTCGTAGATTGAAAATGTCATGCATTTTGTCACGCAATCTCATGCGTAGAGTACAACAACAACAACTTGGATTTATATAGCGCCCTTCATGCCGGACGGCATCTCAGAGCGCTTCATAGTAACGGATCCCGGAACCGCGCCAGGGGGAGGGGGAGAAAGGTGACCAAAGGCGCAGTCAAAAAGAAAGGTCTTCAGTAGAGACCTGAAAATAGGAAGAGAGGGGGCCAGGCGAAGGGAGTGAGGAAGGGAGATCCAGAGTCTCAGGACATACTGGCTGAAGGTACGGCCGCCGAGGGCGGAGCGGAGAACTCGGGGAGGAGGCCAGACCCGGAGGAATGAGAATGAGGATATTAAGAGAAAATAAGCAAAAGGTGAGAAGGACAAAGAAAGACAGAGACAAAATCATTCTAATCTCCTTGTGCTCAGTGAAAATATTAAACTCTGTGCCCCACAAAGTTTGCAGTGATTCAGATTGCTGCAGATAATTTTTGGTAATCAAATTTTTTCCTGCTGGATATCATTTAACAGCAAATCCTTCATTGTGCAATTAGATTTTCTGTTTTTAGCCAGTGTGCATTCATCCTCATTCAGTTAAGTTTGACTTCAAGTTTAGACTTCATAATTTGGGCGAGAGACATGTGAAATATAGGAACAGGAGTAGGCCATTCAGCCCCTCGAGCCTGTTCCGTCATTCTATAGGATCATGGCTGGTCTGTACCTCAACTCACCCTTGCCCCATATCTCTTGATTCTCACCCAGGCCTCAGGCCCCATATCCCTTTTAACCTGCCTTGCCTCATATCCCTTGGGTCAGCTTTTTTTTTTAAAAAATCCCTTAGGTTTGCTATCTATAACAAACTTATGTCAATGGGTTTGAAGGGAAAAACATGGACAAAAATTGACTAAAGTAAACAGAGAATGGTCGTAAGAGTAGTTAGGTCAAAGTGGCATTTATTGAATGGAACTCCTCAGGGAAATGTGCTGGAATTTCTCCTGTACCCTGAATCCATTGATGATTTGGATTAACAAACTCAGTGCAAAATGTTAAATTTACAAGTGATACCAAGTTGTCATTGGATCCTACAATTGGAGGAGAGACTGCCAATCTTAAAATGAAAGCACGCCAGGGTACCCATCTGGTCACCCATAAAGACACCTGGGCAAATAAAGTTAATTACGGATTCAGTAATTGCAAGATTCATAAGATTACATGATAATCTGTTATGGTTACTGAGGCGGTTTTATTGCTAGGATTGGTTTAATTGGTACTGTTTAATCATGGTCAGTGACACATTGGCTGTTACAAGCTGTTGTATTGCTAACATGCATTGAATGCGACCTGTATCATTCCATGATTCTATGAAACGTGGCATCTAAGTTTATGTTGGTGGTTTGTTCGTGATATGTGTTGGAAAATTGCAAGTATTTCAGCCAGAAGAGCTGTACATATGGCTGAAAATCTGATTTTCAGCTTGTCACTATTCATACGTAAATTGTACTGACTGGTTCCTCTTCATTGCTTTTCCTGACACAATGCACGAAACCTGAGTAATTATAATGGGTAACATTTTCTGATGAGAAAATCTCATGTGTAGAGTACAACAACAACAACTTGGATTTATATAGCGCCCTTCATGCCGGACGGCGTCTCAGAGCGCTTCATAGTAACGGATCCCGGAGCCGAGCCAGGGGGAGGGGGAGAAAGGTGACCAAAGGCGCAGTCAAAAAGAAAGGTCTTCAGTAGAGACCTGAAAATAGGAAGAGAGGGGGCGAGGCGAAGGGAGTGAGGAAGGGAGATCCAGAGTCTCAGGACATACTGGCTGAAGGTACGGCCGCCAAGGGCGGAGCGGAGAACTCGGGGAGGAGGCCAGACCCGGAGGAATGAGAATGAGGATATTAGGAGAAAGAAAGACAGAGACAAAATCATTCTAATCTCCTTGTGTTCAGTGAAAATATTAAACTCTGTGCCCTACAAAGTTTGCAGTGATTGAGATTGCTGCAGACAGATAATTTTTTGTAATCAAATTTTTTCCTGCTGGATGTCATTTAACAACAAACCCTTTATTGTGCAATTAAATATTCTGCTTTTAGCCAGTGTGCATTCATCCTCATTCAGTTAAGTTTGATTTGCAAGTTTAGACTTCATAATTTGGGCGAGAGACATGTGAAATATAGGAACAGGAGTAGGCCATTCAGCCCCTCGAGCCTGTTCCACCATTCTATAAGATCATGGGTGATCTGTACCTCAACGCCAATTACCCGCCCAGGCCCCGTATGCCTTGATACCCACCCAGGCCTCAAGCCCCATATCCCTTAAACCTGCCTTGTCTCATATCCCTTGGGTCAGCTTCTTTATAAAAAAATCCCCTAGGTTTCCTGTCTATAACAAACTTATGTCAATGGGTTTGAGGGCAAACATGGGCAAAAATTGGCTAAAGTAAACAGAGAATGGTCGTAAGAATAGTTAAGTCAAAGTGGCATTTATTGAATGGAGCTCCTCAGGGAAATGTGCTGGAATTTCTCCTGTACCCTGTATCCATTGATGATTTGGATTAACAAACTTAGTGCAAAATGTTAAATTTACAGTTAACACCAAGTTGTCTTTGGATCCTACAATTTGGAAAAGGGACTGACAGCCTTAAAATGAAAACACGCAAGGGTACACACCTGGTCATCGATGGCAAATAAAGTTAATTACAGATACAGTAGTTGCACAATTCTATGTATTACCATGAGCTGGGCATTGGACAGAGTGGGAAGAAAAAGAAGAGAGTTGAGGAAAGAACCAGGAGAGATGTTGAATTGAAAGAGAATGAGATTCTTGATATCTAAGTCTACGTTCTAAAAAATTCAACCTCCGAGAAAACATGGTTTCCCACTATGCCACAGAATTTTACTAGCTAGAGAAAATCAGTAGTGGGGAGTTTGGTGCTGTGCATAAATGTGTCAAACGTCTGGAGGACTGTCTCTATGCCAATAAGCGGTTGAAAAGACCTCTGTCTGGATCAACTGATGAACAGACAGCGCTCCGTGAAGTGTATGCACACGCTGTGCTGGGACATCACCCCCATGTGGTGCGTTACTACTTGACATGAGCAGAGGATGATCACATGCTCATTCAGAATGAGTACTGCAATGGTGGCAGCCTGGCAGATGTAGTGATGGATAACCTGAGAAAGGAACTTCACTTTCTGAAGGAGAATTGAAGGAGATTCTGCTGCAAGTATCCATGAGCCTGAGATACATCCACAATTCTGGCCTGGTTCATATGGACTTGAAGCCGAGCAATATTTTCATTTGTAAAAAAATGATTGATGCTAAGTCTGGATGCTTGGAAGAAGAAAAGTGATATTGACAAGGATGGTGTTTTGACCACAAATATACTATACAAAATAGGTGACCTTGGCCATGTGACCTCAATCTCAAATACCCAAATGGAGGAAGGAGACTGCCGCTTCTTAGCCAATGAGATATTACAAGAGGACTATTCTAATTTGCCCAAAGCGGATATTTTTGCCCTGAGTCTGACCATCACCCTGGCTGCAGGAGTGGAAAGACTGCCTCACAAGGACGTAGAAAACGCTATATCAAATGCAAGGATTATTATTTTATTATATTATTAGTATCAACTTCACTTTCACATCATGTTCAGAAAGTTGTGCACAACTTTCTGAACATGATGCGAGAGTGAAATTATCAGGTAAGATAAACTTATCAAGAGGGAAGCTGAAAAAGACCTATGGATGTTAGCTGAATCGCCTCTCACCATATCCAAATACTGAGTGAGATGCAACAAAAAGGCAAACAATGTTACAATGCCAAATTGCCTTTAGATACGTAGATGTTCTTCTCAAACTGTGTCGTGCTGTGATCAGGACGTATCTGGAATACTGTATTGGGTACAGTTTTAGTCACTGCCAAATGAAGTGCACAATAAGGGGCCATGATCTCAAACTTAAAGGAAGAAAAACAGAAATTTAGATTTCATTAGTTTACAAAGAGAAGCGATGAATATATGGAACATGTTGCCCAAGGAAACACTGGTAGCAGATAATGTCAACTGTTATAGGTGATATTAGATAGGTGTATGGTGGTGGGGCACGGAATATGATAGACAGAACTGAGCCAGCCAGTCTGCAATACCCTTTCGTAGTCATGTTTTTCTTTGTTGTTATCCCAACACTCATAGAAGTGAAAGGGCCTATTAACAGTACAGGACGTGTTAAGTAATAGCATTCAATGTTTTACATTCTTGTTATCAAAACTGCTTATCATTATTTCTGTCTCTTAAAAACAAGATAAGATAGTGAACTCCACAACTTCACTCACAAGTCCCAGTGGCAGGTAATCTGTGAAGCCAGGAAGAGAGCAGATATGCCACGACTGTTTGTGGAACACTGCTGTGCGCAATTGGCTGCCATGTTTTGCCCATATAATATACAGTCAAGTCACTTTACGGCATATTCTGTGAAGCGCTTTGAGATGCCTCAATGATGTGATAAGGCGTTATATGAAATGCAAGGATTATTATTATGTTGAAGTTGTCCCCATTTTTGTGGATGACATCGCCGAGAGGGAGCATGTAAATGAGGAAAAGAAGGGGGCCGAGGATGGAGACTTGGGGTAACCCACAGGTGACCAGGCAGCGGCGGGAGGAGAAACTGTTTGCAGAGATATATTGTTGCCAGTTGGTCAAGTAGGACTCCAACCATGCAAGAGGGGTCCCACTAAGGTGGATGGGGGAGGAGAAACGATGGACGAGGATGGCATGATTGACTGTGTGATCTGCTGCACTTTAACAGCAGACAGGACCACAGTCTATTGTCTAATGTGAAAAGCAGCACCTCAAACAATGCAATGGTCCCCCAGAACTGCACTGCAGCCTGGACAATGATTTTGAAACCCCAATCTCCTGACACAAAGGTTAAAATGCTACATAATAATAATAATAATCCTTGCATTTGATATAGTGCTACATACTGAGTTAAGTTGACACAGGAAAACTAGTGGAATGAAGAAAGGTAAAAGGTCATCTTCAGGGAAGGCAACAACATAAACAACAACAAATAATTGCATTAAATAGTGCCTGTCACATGGGGATGAAGGGAACAAGTATCATTTGTGCCCCAAAGAGCAAGCCATCTTTTGGTGTGAATCATTCCATGTTAACAAACACAATTTGAAAAGGTTTATTTCATATTTGTGACCCGTGTTAATATCCCTTCACAGAAACAGTCAATACCGGAAGTAAGAAAACAGTGAAAACAAATCACACATCAATTGTGTTCACTGAAGGAGTCTGGTTGCTTTGTTTAACTTCTACTTTCTCCTGATTCCCAGCATTTCCTGACTGCATTGGGTGGAATAGTTGCCATTCCCCTCATTCTGTCTCGAGAGCTCTGCTTACAACATGACCACATCACACAGAGCAAGCTCATCAGCAACATATTCTTTGTGTCAGGATTCTGCACTCTGCTTCAGGTCCTTTTTGGGGTAAGGTAAGAGCTCAGAAATATTCTTCCTGCATCAACAAGCCAAAAACACAAGCAACAAAAGGAAACACAAGTCTTCCATGGATGGAAAAGAACTTGCCAAGCTGACTCATCTCTTATCATCAAAATAGTGTGATGTGAAAATAAACTAGGCAAATGGGATGCTGGACTATATTACCAAATCAGTTTGAATCCCTGTAAGAAATACTCAAGCTATATAGTGCTCTAGTCATGCTGCAGCCAGAGGACTGCATACAGTTCTGGTTACTGTGACAAAAGGTCTGCCCAAGAGGCACTGCAGAAAACCCTTCACAGAGTTGAGCCCTACTCAGTGTCAATCCTGTACCATTCCACGACATCCAAACTTGATCATCTTGTAATAGGTTGCTCCTTTCAAGGCTTCATTTGACCTCTGAAGGGCAAATAGCAATAAGCCATGGAAATGTTTTGTACTTCAGATCTATGATCATAGTCTGTTAGCTCTGATTAAGTCCTTGTTAGAATAGAAGAAATCTTTTCACTTTTCGATTCCCGTTTCAAATGGCAATATAGAGCATTTGACAGGCTCCATCGCATTTTGCAAGAAACATGTTGCAAACATAATTTAGAAATCATAGAATCATAGAATGATACAGCACAGAAGGAAGTCATTCGTCCCATCATATCTGTGCCAGCTCTTTGAAAAGAGCTATCCAATTCAATCCAACTCCCACACTCTCTCCTTGCAAACTTGTCCTCCCCAAATAATTATCAATGTTTCAGCCCAGTAGATAATATTGATCATAACATAAAACTTGCTAACATTTCTGAACCATTAAACACAATTCTAAAGAGGTGCTGTTTTTTACCAAAGATGTGTAATATAGCCGCTGATTTCTGAGCATTATTTCTTTCAGGCTGCCCATCCTACAAGGAGGTACATTTGCATTCCTGACTCCTACACTAGCCATGTTGTCTTTGCCAAAATATAAATGTCCTGAATGGACATACAATCAGACAAAAGTTAACACCAGTGATCCCATCTTTATTGAAATATGGCAGTCACGCATGCAAGAGGTACTTTGCAACTTTAAAGTTGATATCATTTTAGTTTTGCTAATTTTATACTTCTCTCTTGAAGGCGCTGCATTACTGTAGGAATGGTTCTGTTAGCACTGGCCACATTCTGCTACCCTTCTCATGTGGCTGGTCATTCTTCAGTTGGAATTATCTTTGTCTAAGCCAAGGTGCGTTTGACCTCAGAGTGCTGGATGGGTCAGTGCAGAAGAACATTTCTTTATATCTAACCTATCCTGTATCTGACCTGGGAGTGTTACACTTAGGGTCATCGGAGTTAATGAGCTCAATTCCTGTTGTACTACATGATCCACAACCTATGGATGCAAAGACTAGATTCCTATGAACCAGAAAAAGCATCACTTAATTTAACATTAAAGCAACAATAAGATGACACTATGTCACTGATATTTGGCAAAGAATGAAGTAATGATAAATTGTTTTCTTTTCTGTGAATCCTAAATCAATTGATTGCTGTAGGCCTGCTGTTCATATTCGTGACCCCATCTCCTGCACTCACGCCCGACTTCATTGGCTCCCTATCCTTCAGGGGATCCAGTTCAAGATCCTGGTCCTCACCTACAAAGCCCTCCATGGCCTCGACCCACCCTGCCTCTGCGACTTCCTAACCCCCTACCAACCCGCCCATTCCCTCCGCTCAGCCGGCTCTGGCCTGCGCCACGTCCCCCGACTCACCCGCCCCACCATTGACGGGAGAGCCTTCAGCCACTCTGCCCCCAATCTCTGGAACTCCATTCCACATTCACTCCGCCTCGCCCCCTCCTTAGCCTCCTTCAAGTCCCGCCTCAAAACCCTCCTCTTTGACCATGCCATTGGCCACCCCCCTTCCCCTCCCCTCCCTTCTCCCCCCTGACCCCAGCTCGGAAATGCTGTCACTGTCCAGCGCCTTGGGACGTCCTCCCGACGTGAAAGGCGCTGTACAAATGTAATCTTGTTATTGTTGTTGTCTTTCCCTTTATAAACATGGAAATGTATCCTGTGTATAAGAGATGCTGCCTTCACTCGTACAGGCATGGTTCAGTTAGTAGTATTCTCGCATCTGGATCAGAAGTTTGTGGATCTCCAAATTGGGAACTTGACCTGACATAATCTGGGCTGACATTCCAGTGAATAAATGGGGAGCGCTGCTTTGTTGAAGATGTGGTGCTTTGGTTGAGATGTTAAACTGAGATCCCGTCTACATGTTCAGGTGGACATTAAAGATCCTATGGAACTACTTGAAAAGAGAAGCAAGCTTCTCTCCATTTTCTAGCTCAACCTCATGACTGTTTGTGTGACCTTGCTGGTGCAAACGTCTGTTGTGTTTGCCTGTAAAAACAGTGATGCACTTTGATATGTTTAAATATAAGACACTATAAAAAAGCAAATAGTTTCTTCTTCATTGACATCAAAACGTCCAAGATAAAGACTCATTGAGAAATACTTGGAATGCTGGAATATTTTTCTACTTTATTTAGTTTCGCTATTGGTTTTTAAGGCTTTCATGTTTTTGGTTTTCAAAACTAATTTAGCCACACTAATGACATAATTTCATTGGTTTCAGCTCCAGGGAGCGATTATGGTAGCATCGTGTTTCCAAATATTTGTGGGATTTTCTGGTTTAATTGGATTTTTGATGCAATGCATTGGACCTTTAACCATCGCCCCAACAATCTCTTTGATTGGATTGTCTCTTTTTGATTCTGCTGGAAATGACGCAGGAACTCACTGGGGAATTTCAGGCATGTAAGTAGCACAAGCTAATACCACAAAGAGCAAACTGAACAAAAGAACCGAGGGGATGCAAACACTGCAAAATAACAATAAATAAAACCAATATTGAATGGAAGCACTGCAAGGACTTCAAATTCTATTCTAACGGCTTCTCCTCCCACTCCGCACAGTCACAGGTGGTGTTCCTCGGGGCTCTATCCTTGGTCCTCTTCTATCTATATGCTCCCGCTTGGCAATGTCATCTGCAGACATGGGGTTAACTTCCTCTCTCTGCCTCTACCCTCCCTGCTGTTCTGACTAATTCCCTTTCTGATATTAAGTCCTGGGTGAGAGCTAACTTTCTCCAGCTGAATTTTAACAAGCAAAACTTGGCCTCAGGCGCTGCTGGTATCAGGCTGCATGGATGTACACTCCATCTTATACAGCTGGTGAAGAACCTCAGTGTCTTTTATGACTCTCAATTGTCTTTTAAACCACACCCGTGATCTGACATCTTCAGCTGTCCCCCACCTCCAAAATACTGCCTGTCTCTGCCACTACTTCTGCCCTCAGGCTACCGAGACCCTCATCCATTCATTTAACACATCCAGGCTTACTTTGCCAATATGCTGCACGCCGGACTGCTCAGTTCTTCCCTTCACAAGCTGCAGACTAACCAGAATTCTGAAGCCTTTTGTCCTTTTCCGCACCAGGCTTCACAAGCCTATTACCCCACCTTTGCCCGGCTCCAATGGTTCCCCATCCCCCAGCAGATCGAGTTCAAGATTCTCGTTCTCACCTTTAATTCCCTACACAGTCTTGCCCAATGTTCCTCAAACTGAACAGAGTAGGCCCCTCCCATGCCCAGTACCGCCGAATCAGCCTCATATCCCCCACCCCACCATCAGCCGTCATGCTTTCAGCTATTCTGCTCTACTTCTCTGGAACTCCATCTCGGAGTCCAATCCAACTTCTCTCTCCCTCATATCTTTCCAGATCTTTGACCATGCTTTCAGTCATCCTACCCAGCTTGGGTGCCAAGCCAATTTTGTTAAGTGCCTTGGGATGGCTCCCTTATGTGAAAGGTACTGTACGAATATAGCTTTGTTTTGTATTGTATTATATCAAACAGATATAATACAATACAATGTATTGTATACAATGCTAACCGCACATGCTTTAAGTACTCAGAAATGATAGGAAATACAAAGCACTCAGGACTGCAACTCAATGGAGTTGAGTCAGTTCTCAGGATTGATACAAATGGAGGGGTTGTAATTACTCCAAACTGATACTAATGGGGATATGAATACTCAGAACCTATCCTAAATGGATGGGTTATAAATACTTGGAACTCATACTAAACAGAGAGCAGTAAACAGAATTGATAGTAAATGGAGCAGCAGAAAGTACACCGAACTGACACAAATTAGAGGGGCAATTAGCACAAATTCTAAACAGCACAAACACAATGTCGTGTCAACATTCACCATTTAACCATAGCATCACAGCTGAAGATCTTTGACATTTCACGATGAAAAGGTAGGATAAAAGTTTACTGCCTCATAGTCTTATGAATGCAATAAAAATAATGGCACTTGCAATTTGGTATTATGTCAGCAGATGTCAGCATTCAGTAAGTAACTATTTCATTTGATAGTTACCAAGCTTAGAAAATACTACATTATAATTGTAAATGATCAATATTGACCCAATTTCCCTATGTTTCCCAATTATACTCTGCTCTCTCCTCTCTCCGTCCCTTCTCTCCCAAGGGAAATCATTCATGCTGGTGCTGGCAGCTATCCAATCTCTCAACCAGGTCCTATTTTCTTTATACATTATTTTCTTCATGCGCAAGCCTGGACAGTGAACCTGTCCAATAAACCTCGATTAAAATTGCTTCATGGCTGTTTGTGGCACATTGTTCAAATTGGCTGGATGTTCGACTAATAAATACACACTACAATAAATCCTGGGAAGCGCTTTGAGACATGTCAAAGTTATGATTAGATGCTATATCAAATGCAAGGATTATTATTATTACTAGTAAGATATTTAACCATGTGGCATCACAGCTGAAAATCTTATCCTCTTATCCTCACTCAATACTTTCCAATGAGAGTTACTAGATAATAATAGTAATAATAATAATAATCCTTACATTTGATATAGCGCCTTATCACGTCTTCAAGACATTTCAAAGTGCTTCATAGAATATACTGTAAAGTGAATTGACTGTGTATTTTGTGGAAGAAAAGTGGCAGCCATTTGCGCACAGCAGTCTCACACAAACAATCGTGGTTTGAAGTGACAAATTTATTATTATTATTTTGAAGGAATTATTACCCTTGGAAAAGTGATCTGGCAATCGACTAACAACTGGGTTCCTAATTATTGCTAGGTAAACAGAGGCATGTGGAGTAAGGAAACTTGCCCAACATTTCACCCTGCCAGGAATTGAAACCAGGTCTCTCGCTTGCGAGTTGAGTGCTCTAACCACTGACTCCACGTCCTGTAACAGAGCACTATGATTGGGAGTTATTAGATAGCAATCAGCAGCAGGAATCCTGCCACAGTCCCCAGTCTCTAAAGCCAATCATAGCTCTCTGTTGATGTCTGGCGAGGCAGCAAATTCAGCAGACCACGATTTGAACCTGGGATGTTTTGATAATTCAATCTTGCTTTTACTCAAAGTCTCCGGGCAGGCTTCACTTTGTTTCTACCTTGTCTTCTTATTTTGCAAACCCAAAACTGAACCTAGAATTTAACTGTGCTCCTCACTTCTGTAAAGAAATGCAATTATTGATACTTTGGATCAACATTATAGTTACCAAAATGACCATCTGGTCAATCTGAATGTGACAATGCTGCCTGCCCAGCATGTGTCTTTTACACCAGTTGGTAATCTTTTCATCATATTTCTGTGCTTGATTGTTGGAAAATGTATCTCATTAGAGGATTGGATATTGTGTAATGAAGAATGAGCATTGGTTTCTGGGATTTGGAGTATTGCATTTGTTATTTCATTTATTGATGATGAATCTTGGATATTGGGCAAATGCTTTATGACTGCAAAAATAAGTTATTCACCTGCAGTTATTGAAACCAGGAATGACCCACCTGTTTTTACCAAGTGTTCCAAATATTCTGTAATCCAGCATTCCTTGTTGTAATTGTGTTTCAGGACCACAGGCTCCATTGTAATATTTTCCCAATATTTGCGACATATTCCAGTACCCTTTCCTGCTTTTAGCAGGAGCAAACAGTGCCATATTTCCTGGATGTACATGTTCCAGATTTTTCCGGTAGGTATTAATTATATTCATAATTTATCAATTCAGTCCATTAACTGTTTCAAGGGATTATGGTGCAGTATATATCTATGTATCCAAAATAGTCATTTTATTTCTAGGAGCTAGAAAGATGATAAATGGTTGAAGTGCAATAAAAGTCACATGAAGGATAAATAGAATAAATAAATCTGAGAACTGAGTGGGTTAAGACAAAGGCTGCAAACTTGAACTTGTTACTTGTCTCAGCCAGAGCAGCAGTGATGGTGTTACAATTTGCTTCAGCTCCCCTAGGTTGGGAAGTTAAAATCAGCTAGGATACTTTGCAAGATATAATTGTGTGAATGTTGAAAAATATAAATCCCATTCAGTGTTATGTACAGTGCCTTTGTCAATGTGTGAGTATAATAGGAAATCCATAAGTGGCTGACATCAACAAAAACAATATGATGCTGAATGGTATTATTGTTCATGGATGAGGATGAAGTTGGAGGTCTGCTGTGACACCCATCAAATGACCTGAAAAACATTCATTGTGAAGGCTCACATATGATCAATTTGAGTAAAATACCCCATTGGGTGTATGGTCTGGCGCCTTTGAAACAGTACGCCAGTAAAAGAACAAAGGAATTAAATGCTTGCAGGAGAGGAGGACTGATAATTGTCATGCTCCTCTTCTTATTTAATCAACCGCCTCTATTTCATTTCAGCAAATGATTTCTCCTCCCTCTCCCACCCGATCACCTGCAGGGTACCCCAGGGCTCCATCCTTGGTCCTCTTCTTTTCCTTATCAATATGCTCCCTTTGGGATGTCATCCGCAGACTTCCACATGTATGCGACTGACACACAAATCTACTTTGCCTCCTCCAGTAACAACTCCAGGGCCGCCAGTGTTCTATCAGCTTGTCTGGCAGACATCAGGGCGTGGATCAGTGTAAACTTCCCGTAGCTGATTATGGACAAGGTCAAGGTCTTCACTCCTGCGGATCTAAACTCCTCAGCCTTCCTGGGCTCTCCCTCAGACTCACCGAACCACTACACAACCTGGGTTCGACCCCCAGCTGTCCTTCCTCCCCCACATCCAGTCCCTGACCAGGACCACCTTCTTCCACCTCCGCCACATTGCCTGCCTCTGATCATACCTTACCCTAAATGCAGCCGAAAACCTTGTGCATGCGTTTGTCACCTCCCGCTTGGATTACGCCAATGCACTTCTCGCTGGTCTCCCCAGCTCCACCAATCACAAGATCCAGCACATTCAAAACTCTGCTGCCTGCATACTGACCTGGACCAAACTCCGTACCCACATCTCACCAGTTCTGGCTAGGTTCCACTGGCTCCCCATCACCGAACAGATCGACTTCAAGATCCTCAAACTCGTGTTCAAATCCCTTCACTCCTTGGCACCTCCCTATCTCTCCCACCTCCGCACTCCCCAATCCACCACCCGGCACCTCCGCCCAACTGGCACCAGCCTCCTGCTCGTCCCTCGCGCCCTCCGCCCCCCATCAGGGGTCGTGTTTTCAGAAACTATGCCCCAAAACTCTGGACCACTCTCCCTCGGTCGCTCCACCTTGCCCCCTCTCTCTCTTTCCTCTTTCAAGTCTTGTCTGAAAACTTTCCTCTTCGACCGTGCTTATGGCCACCTCCCCCCTCCACCTGGCTCGGATTCAGACTCCGCCACTGTTAAGCGCTCTGAGACACTACCCTTCGTGGAGGGTGCTATATAAGTGCAAGTTGTTATTGTTGCCATTTTCACTCTGCACTAAAATGTGATAAACAGCCACAGTTGTCACCACAAAACATCATCATCTTCAGGACCCTACACGAAATAACCTAGGGAAGGGACAAACCATCTGTGAACATCACAAACCCATTATTTCCAGGACTGCAGAATAGCAGATCAAAAATATTTGGGCAATATGAAAGTCTAGTCTATTCTTCACAACTCCTCAATTCTTAAAGAATGAGACATTCTGAGCAACGATAATGAGATGCATTATCAGTCTAATACAATAGCAAGCAATGGATCTACTTTGAAAAGAGAGGACATAGGTTGCAGAGCAGAGGTGTATCAGTCAAGGGTAGACCTGGAGATGTCAGTGCAGATCAGTGCACTGGAACGAAGGCTCCTTTACACATTCCTACATCTTTAAACACAAGGCTTTGCTCCAAAAAGGGGAGCTTGACTGATGTGCTCATCCTTGTGCAGATATCAGAACCAGGGGTTTCGAAATATGTGAAGTGCCCATTTTCTAAAACTATATTTTTATTTTTACTTTCTGGACAGGTGCTCCTTGGCATTGTAGTTTCGTGGCTTTTCTGTTTTATACTCACAGAATGCAAAGTCTTTCCTGAGGACCCAGATGATTACGGATATCAAGCCAGAACGGATGTGAAGTCGGACGTTGTTCAGCGAGCTGATTGGTTCCGTTTCCCTTACCCAGGTAAATGCAGGAGCAAAAGCTGAAAGATTCACTAAAATGATCGCAACCAAAATCTAACAAATGTGATGTATTAAAAATAATCCTTGCGTTTAATATAACTAAGCATCACTATTTTCCCTTTTTAATGAAAAAATCAAAACTAAAATAAGTTGGGATTTTTTTTCCAGGTATATTTTTTTAAAAATAAGAGCAAATGAACACCAAAACAGGTAAAAAATAAAAGTTGAATATGGCATTCAGTTTGGAACATTCTCTTTATGGGTTTATCTGAAGCTCTCTCAGCAACATCTGTTTTAATTTCAGATTTCCAGCATCTGCAGTATTTTGCCCTTTAGGCTCTAACATTAGTCCACCATAATGCACACTGTAATACAATGTGTTACTGCTACAATATCACACATTTTAAAACCAGGTGCACCACTACTGGAATGTGCAGTCATACACTCTGTCCTCTATGCACAGGTCAGTGGGGAGTTCCAACCATAAGCATTGCTGGTGTTTTTGGAATTCTGGCTGGAATGATTTCTTCAATGATCGAGTCTGTTGGTGACTATCATGCCTGTGCACGCTTATCCGGTGCTCCTCCTCCTCCAAAACAAGCCATAAACCGTGGGATTGGCATTGAGGGAATCGGCTGTCTCCTGGCTGGAGCATGGGGCACAGGAAACGGGACCACCTCCTACAGTGAAAATGTTGGTGCTTTGGGCATTACCAAGGTAAAAGGAACAGTGAAGATGTTTTTTCTGAGTTACCATTTTTTTTAAATCTTCTGGTTTTAAACCAGATCCCTGGAAGTGAGAAAGAGCACTCGGCAGTTACTTTCTCTCCTGGCCTCCTGAAGAATAAAGCAAGGTCTTTATCACAATGACAGTGATGCATGCACATAAAGTGAAGCTCATCTTTAGCGCATCTAGTGCATAGGAACAAAGCTATCTATGTCCATGTGAGGTCAATGGGTTGATCATTCATGTCTACCAACCCATCTCCAACCTCCCTTTTCTTTCCAAGCCTTGAAAGAGTTGTTGATTCCCAACTTCGCTTTTTCCTCTCCCACCTCACAAGCCCCTCCAATCAGGTTTCCATGCTGCTCACAGCATGGAAACTGCTCTGGTCAAGGTGACAAAATACATTGTGTCCATCTGTGACCAAGGCTCCCTCTGCTTTCTCGTCCTCCTCGACCTCTCTGCTACCATGGACCACTCCAACTTCCTCCACCGCCTCGCCTCTCACCTCAACCTTCAAGGTTCTGTCCTTGAATGGTTCAGGTCTTATCTCCAATTTGTCTCCACCACCGGTTTCTCTTCCAGCCCCGCACAGTCTTGAGTGGTGTTCCTCAGGGCTCTGTCCTCGGTCCCCTCCTCTTCAACCTCTACATATTCCCCCTTGGTGACATCATCCGCATACATGGGGTCAACTTCAATATGTACACGGATGACACCCAAATCTTTCTCTCTGCTTCCACCCTCAATTCCAGGACAACTGACGTCCTGACAGACTGTCTGTTAGGCATCAGATCCTGGATGAGAGCCAACTTTCTACAGCTGAATTTCAGCAAGACCATGGCCCTCCTGATTGGCTCACGCCAGCACCTCAGCACTTCAGGCAGAGAAGAAAAGATATACTCGCCTTAGAGTGGGTGCAACGTAGATTCACTAGGTTGGTTCCTGGGTTGAGGGGGTTGACCTACGAGGAGAGGTTGAGTAGACTAGGCCTATATTCTCTAGAATATAGAAGAATAGAGGTGATCTTATAGAAACCTATAAGATTCTTAAGGGTAGTTATTGTGAGACTGTTTCCCCTGGTTGGAGAATTTAAAACTAAGGGTCATAGTCTCAGGATTAAAGGTCAGCCTTTTAGTTGAGTTGAGAAAACATTTCTTCACTCAGAGGATAGTGAATTTATGGAATTCTCTATCCCAGAAAGTTGTGGGTGCTCAGTCATTGAATATATTCAAGACTGAGATCAATAGATTTTTAAAAACTAAAGGGATTAAGGGATATGGGGATAGGGCAGGTAAATGAAATTAGGTTAGAAGATCAGCCATCATCTTATTAAATGGCGGGGCAGGCTCGGGGGGCCGAATGGCCTACTCCTGCTCCTATTTCTTACGTTCTTATGTTCAGGCATCACCTTCTAGGGATGCACACTCCACCTCACCAAGCCAGTAAGAAACCTGGGTGGCTCCACTGGCTCCCCATCCCTCAGAGGATAGAATTCAAAATCCTCATCCTCACTTTCAAGGCTCTCCACAGCCTTGCTCCCTTTCTACATCTCTGACCTGCTGATCCCCTATCACCCTGTCCGCTCCCTCCGCTCAGCAGGCTCCGGTCTGCTCCATGTCTCCCGCCCGACCCACCCTACATTGGCGGTCCGGCTTTCAGCCGCTCTGCCCCCACCTTTTGGAACTCCATCCAACAATCCTTTTGCCTTGCTCCGTCCCTTGCTTCCTTTAAGGTGCGACTCAAGACTCTCCTTTTCCACCATGCCCTCAGCCACCCTCCTACCTCTCTGCCCTCCCTCATCCAAACCCTGCCCCCCCACACTCGGGTCTTGATCCCTGATTGTTCAGCGCCTTGGGTTGTCCTCCCGATGTGCAAGGCACTTTACAAATGTAATGTTGATGTTGTTCTTGTTGTTGTTCTTGTTCTTGTTGTTGTTGTTTTCAGTAACTCTATAAATGGGAGAAGAACCAGCATTTCTTTCTATATGATAGGTTGGGAGTCGTGCGGTAATCATCACCAGTGGGATTTTACTGATCTTCATGGGATTGTTTGTTAAAATTGGAGCGATTTTCGCCACCATTCCACAGCCAGTTATTGGTGGAATGTTGATGGTGATGTTTGGTGTTATTACAGCCGTTGGAATTTCAAATTTACAGGTATCGCAAAGTATAGCTAAGTTTTCTATCTTCATCTGAAAGCACACAGTGATTTGTTCATTCATTGCAAGACAGCAAAAATAGAGGCTCCTGCAAAGAGTAACGTTGGGAGTACAATCACTTCTCCTCTTTCCTTCTAACACTCTCCTGATTTAATTTGGGAGAGGCAACCCTTTGTATCTGAACATGGAAATGCCAATGCAGTATAAGATAATCAGAGAGAACTGACATACATAATCCAATGCACTTTAAAGCTTGCCGTGATCTGAAGTATAGATTCAGCGCAGTATGAGGTTGGCACAGTAATGTGACACAAACTCCAGAGCAGGATGAGCCTGGGAGAGTGACCCGAAATACAGAATCCAGCACAGTCCAAGGCTGACAAAGTGACCTGATCTGCAGAATAAATCACAGTATGAGCCTACGGAAATCGCCTGACATATAGAATTTAGAATAGTATAAGGCTACCAAAGTGACCTGACCAATTCAATCTAGCTCAGTAGGAGGCTTAGATAAATGACTTGACAGATAAAAAAAAAGCACAACACAAGCCTGGCACAATTGCCAGCTTTAAATTGTTCAACTTCTTTCATGTTCAGATCAGAACCAGTTCCATAGAGGAAGTCCATGTAAGAATTGAGATTCCTGCTTGGAGTGAAATCCTTTAAAGGTTACCACTATTTAGAAAAAATGTAGTGGATGGAGCACATTTAACAGGCCTAAGTTCGCTGAGCAGAGGGGCACAAATCAGGAGTGTGGTGTGGGGAACCATCCAGCACACAGAAAGTTAGTTGGCTGGCTATGTGCAAGTACAGTGAAATTGGCCATCACTGCTTGTTTTAACATGAGTTTGGATTTTATGGATTCCGATCACAGGAATAAAGCAAGACTACACGGTAATGAGAAACAGGAAAATATGCCTGTGTTTTCTCCTCTTACCTGAGGGTGTTGAGGCTAATTGTAGTGTACCTTCTGCCAAATTAAAATATCTAATCTCTGTGTGTCACTGAGAAAGATAGTCATTGTAACATTTATTATTACCACGTCTGTGGTATTTGGGTTTTGAAGCAGCACACTGTTGGTTGCACTCAATTGCATGCTGTCAGGCAGATTGTTTCACTGGTACCTTACTCTTCCTGATCCATTCCCATCAGAGCTAAGGAGTTTGTAAGGAATGTTCTACTCTTGGATGTTTTACATGAGATTCCTTCTCTCATCATTGAAGTCTTACAATTTGCAGTAAATACAGAAGCATTCTCTCTGTCTGACACAAGCGGAACCTTCCCTATGCTAAACAGAATCCAAACCAAACTGAGAATTCCATGCATTCTACAATGGAAATTCCAGAGATAAATTGTTGGAATGGAATATGCACTCTGTCCCAGAAAATGTAAGAAGCATTCATAATGTGGGCAGCTAATTAGATTAAGTGACCTTTCCTCATCCCACTTGCTCTTACATTTATTCTTTTAGTTTGTAGATATGAATTCTTCAAGGAACATCTTTATTTTTGGATTCTCTATGTTTGCTGGCTTGGTCATACCTAACTGGATGAATAAGCATCCCGATGCAATCCAAACAGGTAGAAAGCATTCCTTTTTTCTATTATGACAAATATTGCTTACTTCCTTTTTAGGAGAATATTGTGGAATTGCACCATCTCACTACATGAAATTTGGAAAGTCTCCCATAAAGTATTTTTTGGAGAAAAATTCTGAAATGATTAAGAACCAAATATTCCACAGTGTGACCTAGCGTCAGAGAGCTTGATGTGTATTGTTTGCCAAGACTGAAAGTGCTGCTGCCAAAGATAATTGGGTATATATATTGCTCAACACATTCCATTCCTTATTTAAGGAACATTGTTAAAGTACATTTTGAAACGCCCATCTGACTTGTGATGGTGGTTGTACCCAACCTGGTTCAAAAGCCTGGGGGGTCATCATTTTGGATTTCAGCTCAGTGGGGATCATTTATCAGAGCTGAAAATGGCATTTTCTAGTTTATTTAGGGTATACCAGTCAAGCTCAACCTAAATTACGGCAGTAAGCCGTGGAAAAAACAGATGACTTTCTATGTTCCTGGTTGAGGCCAACAATTTTAGAGACCTTTATTGCAGTTTGTGAGCATGGGATAGTATACAACAACAACAACAAGATTGCATTTGTATCGCACCTTTCATGTCGGGAGGATGTTCCAAGGCGCTGGACAGTGTACAGCATTTCTGATCCGAGCTGCGGTCAGGGAGGGAGAGGGGAGGGGAGGGGAAGGTGGGTGACCAATGGCACGGTCAAAGAGGAGGGTTTTGAGGCGGGACTTGGGGGATGGATTTCCCGAGGTTGGGGGCAGAGTGGCTGAAGGCTCTCCCACCAAGGGTGGGGTGGGTGGGTCAGGGTACAAAATACAAAATAGAATATTACTTACAGCACCAAAATATGGAGCTGTGAAATATTCAATATATTTTAGAAGTAAGAATTGTATTGAGTTAGAAGAGATAGCAATGGTAAGAAGCTAATGATCTGCACAGTATGTAAACAGATGAGGAGAAAGGCCAATGATTTAAAGGCACAGGGTATCATATCAACAGGGTTAAAAAGGCACTGCTTAATTTTCTCTTCCTTGGTTTCTCTGAGAAAACACCTGGTCTCATGTATACCATTAAGCAGTGTGGGATTTCATTGTTGTATACGACATTGAATTCGGAAAAAATATATTTAACTTGAATGCGGCTTTGGTTAGGGTCATATCATTGACCCCAAAAATTGTTTTGTTTTATAGGAGTACTCCCACTTGATCAAGTTATCTATGTTCTTTTAACGACCAGTATGTTTGTTGGCGGATTCTTTGGATTTTTTCTGGATAACACTGTACCAGGTAAACTTTCTTCCTGTCAAATTAGGGAGATTAAGGACTAATAATCTTACAGTGATGCATAGCATTAACAGAAATTGAAGTGACAGGAATGAAAAGGGATTGCTTGATATGTAAGAGACACCTGCAAAGTTAAGTTAATTGGGCCAGCATTCATAGGATAAATCATGCACAGAGACGGAATAACAAAAGGACACAAATTTAGGGTTACAAAACCAATTTCAGAACAGACACTTGGAAGCATTTTTTTTACCTTGTCTTAGATGTAATTCTCTGGTGAGATGGGTTTAACTAGATGATACTCAGTTAAGTTTAGTTTGTCACACTCTGCTAGGACTTTGAGCTCTTAGTGCATGATGACAGGATCAGGACAACATTTTAGATTTCCTGTAACCCACCAGGCCAAACCATATGAATTGTCATTTTATAACAATAATAGAAGCATGAGTGAGAAAATCGGTTGTTCCGAAGGCATATTTTAAATAGCCCAACAAGTGGAAGGACTCTAAGCTTGTTAAAACCGTACATGCCAGTTTCATGACTCAGGGCTCAGGCCTGTCTCAGGGAGCCAAGAAGCGCAGTTCTGTTCCATACTTGGTTCTAATGAGTGATCCAAGCACAAATGCCAGAGAAGGCATACTTGAAACATGAGGCAATAATGACAATCACTCAATGATATTTAAACTAGATTGGGAAGCAGAAGAGAAGCCATTGCCAAACAGCTCATCATTGTGGTTACCATAGGAGCCAGTTGAGGACATATTCTCAGAGAACTTTGTGATGGAACTAATTATTATTGTTTTGTTTCTCAGGATCAGAGAAGGAACGGGGAATACTAACTTGGAAAGAAGCTCATATCAAAGAGGGAGACACTGCATGTGACACCGCTTGCTATGACTTACCCTTTGGTATTGGTACAAAGTGCTGCACTGGCTCATGGCGGAGGTTTCTCCCCTTTTGTCCAAAGCCAAAACCAAAACCCGCTGCCGAACCAGCAGTAGAAGTGAAGCCTGAGGAAAATCATAAGGAGACTCTGTTTTAATTACAGGGAAAACAAAACTCTTCGAACTCCCCTCTGCAATTCTGCAATCAACTTTTGAGAAAGAGCACAATAGACCAGGAGATGGAGACCAGTACAATTCCTAGACCTTGATCAAATCAATTAATGCCAATTCAGTAACAATGTTCACAGCTTCTCCTTCATACCCACATGTATATATACCCATAATTGTCAGAGATATTATCCTTTTCTACAATGTCTGGCAGCTCACACCTATATTATGATGCAAGGGCTAGACCCTCTTGCATCATATTATATGTGTGATTGTCACACCAGAAGTTTCTGCCAGTGTAATTAAAAATTGAACTTCAACGAAACCTCAAGTAGGAAAGCTGAATGATGAGATGATAATAATAAACCTTACATTTGATTTCATGTCAGAAGAAGAAGTGAATGACCATAATTATCTGGAGTATTGTAAGGCAGAAAATCAGGAAAAACTCTTCTTTGCAAATAGGTGTGCCACATGTGAGGTAGTTGGGAAATGAGAAAGTAACAAGAGGGGGGATAAAGGTTGAAACAAAAATTAAAGTTAGAAGCATTGAAATAAAAAAAAACCACTACTGAGTCAGAGGTGAATCTGGGTTCTCGAGGATGGATCCCAGGTGCTGTCATCTGAGGGACAAATATTTTTCTTGAGGCTCGTTATTTTTGAAAGTCACTTAGCTTATCAATATACTAGCTGGACCCGTTGCAGCTTCGCTTGCCACCAAAGGATCCAATATGGAATGTAGATTGACACACAGACAGACATTTCATCTTTATCTATACTCATCTAGGAGGACTCCTTTTTGGAGGATTCAGTTGGTGGACTCAGTGCTTTAAAAATGTAATTTTGTTGTTGTTGCCGCGGCCTAACTTTGTCTGTGTTCTTTATTTTGTTCCCGCCACTTGGCTACGTGTGTGCTCTGTGACACAGGATGCCACAGCGCCACGGTCACCCGGCATTGCCACCAGGTGTAACTGCCCTGTGCGCATACATACATACATAGGTAGTGGCCACAGTGCCACTTTTACTCGGCTGCCACCAGGTGTAACTGCAGGAAAAGACGCAAAACTGAAAATAACTCGTGAATGATAGGAGATACATGAAAACAAGTGCACTCATGTCACTCCCAGGTACAAGACCTTTCTGATGAGGTACAAATCGGGTTTACATCAATTGGTTATTGAGATCCTTCTTGAAGCACAGATAGACATTGTCGTTTTATTGGTATCGAAGATTTTGAAGACTGGGCAAATCTTTGAAAAAATGAGAAGTAAGGATTGTTCCTTCCAGAGTGTACCTGATAGGAGCGTGTAATTCACACCTAAAGAAAACAGATAAGAGTACCGTGAAACACGGGATCTTTAACGTCCATCTAAAAAGGCAGAAGGAATCTTGCATTTATTCTCATCTGAAGCATAGCACCACCAACAAAGCGGTCTGACCCCAGGTCTGTCTTTGAGTGTCAACTGAGATGTGGGCCTTGAACCCACGACCTTCTGACTCAGAGGCAAAACGTTACCAAATGTGCTCGGCAGACAATTCTATGAAAGGACAGATTACCAATTTACGAACAATTTAGAACTAAACTTCCCCCTCTGCACCTAATTCCCACTCTCACCCAATTCCTTCTTACTCTGGCCTCGCCTCACTCCAGATATAGCTCGCTCTGAGCTCTCTGCCCGAGTAAGCCTCTCGCAGCTATCCTTTTTTTATACCCTCTGGATGCAATCAGTTTCCAATTGGTCAGCAATAATTTGGAATACTTTTGGATGCACCAAGACAAAAGAATAAGAGTACCGAAATATTGGATTGTAAAGTGCAATTTCAGGCCAGACACTGATATTTATTCAACAAAGGGTAATTAAACAAACAAGTTTCTTGGAAAGGTGGATGCGACCAGGAAGCTGGACTTGTTTAAAAAATAGCTTGTTGCTGTGATGGAAATAGTTGGGTGAGTATTCTGGAAACACAAGATCAAACGGATCAAAAGATCTTTCTTCCTTCGAACTTCTCTTGTGACCATTAACAGTCATTTGGAATGCTTTTTGTGTTGGAGTCATTACGACAGAATTACAATGTTATATATCAATAATTAACTGGCTTAACATGATGCGCTTTCTCAAGCATGGCTAATGTGCTATCCTAAACCAGAATTTCTTTAAAAGTGAGTGAAATGTCTCTATGGACAAAGAGATTTCTACAATTTTCAGTGCAATGAAAACTTGGCTCATTAGTATTGCACCAAAGAAAGTCAAGTTACAACAATATCAACCTCTTCTGAACAACTTGATTCTCTTGATTCTCATATGTTCAACTTTGTGGCTCCCCTTCACATACCCACATGCATAGCCACCCTCCCCCTCAAACAAAGAGAACCACCATTCCCCTCACACCTGCAAACAGAACCACCCTGAACATATTCAGTAACAGCCTCTCTTATGATCACCCTGTGCAACCTCCCTCCCTCACACCCACCCCAGTGCCACTCTCACTCACCTACCCTAGTGCCACTCTCACTCACGCACACCCACCCCAGTGCCACTCTCACTCACGCACACCCACCCCAGTTCCACTCTCACTCACGCACACCTACCCTAGTGCCACTCTCACTCACACACACCCACCCCAGTGCCACTCTCACTCATGCACACCTACCCCAGTACCACACTCCCTCATTCACTCACACACCCCAGTGCCACTCTCCTCCCACCCACCTTAGTGCCATGCTGCCTCCCTCATACCCACCTTAGTGCCACTCTCATTCACTCACACCTACCACAGTGCCACGCTCCCTCACTCACTCACACAACAACAACAACAACAAGATTCCATTTATAGAGCGCCTTTCACATCGGGAGGACGTCCCAAGACGCTGTACAGTGGGGTCAGGACCTGAGCAGGGGGGAAATGGTCAGGGTGAGGGGAGGGAAGGGAGGGAGCGAGGAGGGGCTAGAGAGTTGAGAGGGAAGCTGAAGGCACGGTCAAAGAGAAAGGTCTTGAGACCGGCCTTGAAGGAGGAAAGGGAGGAAGCAAGGTGAAGGCACTGGGGGATAGAGTTCCAGAGCCTCGGGGCTGAGAGGCTGAAGGTCCGGCCACCGATGGTAGACGGTTGGGACGGGGGATGTGGAGCAGACCGGAGCCAGAGGAATGGAGGGTACAGGCAGGTAGGTAGGGGGATAGTAGGTCGGAGAGGTAGGAGGGAGCAAGGCCATGAATGGCCTTGTAGGTGAGGATGAGGATCTTGAATTGGATCCTCTGGGGGATGGGGAGCCAGTGGAGGCGAGCGAGGGTGGGAGTGATGTGTTCCCGAAGCCTGGTGCGGGACAGTACACGAGCTGCAGAGTTCTGAATGACCTGCAGCTTGTGGAGGGAGGTGGCGGGAAGGCCGGCGAGGAGAGAGTTCCCATAGTCCAGCCTTGAGGTGATAAAGGCGTGGACCAGAGTTTCAGCAGCGTGAGGGGTGAGGTAGTGCCGTAGTCTGGCGATATTTCGGAGGTGATGGAAGGCGGTGCCAGTTGTGGCGCAGATATGAGGAAGAAAGGACAGCTCAGGGTCAAACAGAACCCCGAGGTTCCTGACCGGCTTTGAGAGGTGGAGAGTGCAGCCTTGGATGCTGAAGCTGGCAGCGCCTGAGGTGCGGAGGCGCTGACGTGAGCCAATCATGAGGGCCTCAGTTTTGCGCACGTTGAGCTGAAGAAAGTTGTCTCTCGTCCAGGACTCGATGTCAGACAGGCAGCTGTCAGGACATCGGTGGTCATGGAGTTGAGGGTAGAGGAGGAAAGGTAGAGTTGGGTGTCATCCGCATACATGTGGAAGTTAACTCCATGTCTGCGGATGATGTCATCGAGGGGGAGCATATAGAGGGTGAAGAGGAGGGGACCGAGGACAGAGCCCTGAGGGACACCGCACGAGACAGTGTGGGGGCTGGAGGAAAAGCCGTTTGTGGAAACAAAATGACGACGGTGAGAGAGGTACGACGTAAACCACTCAAGGACAGGGCCTTGAAGGTTGAGGTGGGAGGACAAGCGGTGGAGGAGGATAGAGTGGTCGACCGTATCGAATGCTGCCGATAGGTCGAGGAGAACAAGGAGGCAGAGGGAGCCCTGGTCGCAGATGGTCAGGAAGTCATTGATGACCTTGACCAGGGCAGTTTCTGTGCTGTGGGCAGCACGGAAACCCGACTGAAGGAGTTCGAATACACACCCACCCCAGTGCCACTTTCCCTCCCTCACACCCACCCAAGAGCCACTCTCACTCCCTCCCTCACACATACCTCATTGCCACTCTTCCTCCTTCACACCCACACCAGTGCTACTATCCCTCCTTCCCTCCCTCACTCCCTCTCGAGTGCCACGCTCCCTCACTTAATCACACCCACCCCAGTGCCACTCTCCCTCCTTCCCTCCCTCACTCCCTCTCGAGTGCCACGCTCCCTCACTTACTCACACCCACCCCAGTGCCACTCTCCCTCCTTCCCTCACACCCATCCCAGTGACACTCTCCCTCCCTCCTTCCCTCACACACACCAGTGACACTCTCCCTCCCTCTCTCACATCCACCTGATTGCCACTCTGCCTCACTCACTCACACCCACCCGAGTGTCACGCTCCCTCTCTCACACCCACCCCAATGCCATTCTCCCTCCCTCCCTCACACCCACTCCAGTGTCACTCTCCCTCCCTCACTTCAGTGCCACTCTCCCACCATTCTTCCCACACATACTCCATCCCACTCACTCACTCACGCACGCACGCACTCACTCACTCACTCACTCACACAATATCTCCCCTCCTGTGGCCCAGTCCCTTAACTCAAGTTGCGGCTCCAGTCTGTCTTGCAAGGCGAGGGCAGTGGGGGGGTCACGCAAGCCCTGCCCACCCAGTCAGAATTCCCGCAGCCATGGTCACCCCCACACTCCCCCATAGCCCCAAGGGAGGTAACCAGAGGCACAAAGAAATTGATTTGAATACAGAATTTGAAAACAGATGTAGCCACCAGTGATGGTACGGTGGAATCCTTCGAGTCCTTCCAAAGAGTCAAGCTGACTATTCTGTCATCAGACCCACCTGGGTCAGGAACTGGACTGGAGACCTTCACAGAGTGTTGTCTTGATTCTGACATGTTATTGCCAAGCCCATCACCTTGGAGCCAGGTGAGTCACAAGTAGATTCTGCTTCCATCCACGCCACCTGAGGAATATAATCACAAATGGATGAGAAATTCAATAAGTCTTGAACAGGAAAGAATGCAGGCTGCAGAGTTCTGGATGATATGAAGCTCATGGGTGGAAGGCTGGCGAGTAAGGTTTTGTTTGGAAGTGATAAGGAATGGACATGGGTATCAATGTATTGGGGGGAAGATTGTGACAAAGGTGAGTTTCAGCTAATTTTGGCAAACTGGAGCAAAGAGATTGGATTAAACGAAGTAAGTAAGGTTTAAATTGCTCAGATTTCATACTGTCTCACCATTTTTCGCAAAATCCATGGTTAATACACTTTGTTCTTTGAGATGTTTACAGGCACTATGTCACGTGCAAGGATTATTTTTAAGGAACTGTATTATGTGTGGGCTGCGTTAACGCCCTCTCGCATTTGATGGCGAAAGTGGGCTTCATATTGTGGCTAAACAGTGTATTGATGCCACCTAATGGCGGAGTTGTGGTATGACAAAATTCAGAAAATTTCTTTCTCCACAAAGAGCAAAATGTGGACGGTAACTCAAAAGCTCACTATATCAG